CCCCACCCCCTCCCCCCCCCCCCCCCACCCCCCCACCCCACCCAGGGAGAGAGGAGGGTTTGCTCTGTCTTTTTCGTTGCCGTTCATGCGATAGACTTGTCAGCCGGGAAATGGCATTTATCACATTTGGCATTGCATATCCAAGGTAAAGGCATTCCCTTCTCATACGAAACGCAATGATGAGAGAGACACAGCTGGTTTCTAGGACATAATCACACCTAGTGCTAGCGATACACTCTTAGCGACACAATACAATACGAATAAATCGTTTAGAAAGATTACCTATTACCTCTGTTTGGCTTTTAGCTTTACTTACCCAGTATGTGTTACCATGTGATTTATTAAATATGCGGCCCATCAGCGGTTCCTCCATTTAGGCGTACTTAAACTACCTAATACCTAAAAAATATAACATAAGGTACCGATAGCCATAGAGATTGGTCAGTCAGGCAGCAACAAACGGATATATTCGAATTAGAATATTCGTCGTCATCTTTACTTCAATCTTCAATAGCTGACGTATGCTTGATCAGGCAGCATTATAAGATATTGTTGCCCCTGTTGAATTAGGTACCTGATGCAGTCGAAACCACCTACATAGTATGTGGCTAGTGGGTATATCGTGAATGCACGGACCAATAGGTTCGAAGTTGAGACCAATCCAGCCCATGTATGTACGTACTTGGGTCTTAGTCACATGCTACATGGTACCTTAGGTTAGGTACCTCTTGTGGCTCAACAAGGATAGGTAAGGCTACATAAAATTACATAAGGGGCGGTACGACGTAAGGTACCTACGTACTATGTATTGTACAATACAATACAAGTTAAGGTCGTCAAGTGCCACCCGTTGTTGCGCCTGGCGATTTGATAAATGTCCCTGAACCAAATTCCCTAACCTGACCTAACCTCCTGTATTTCTTTTTACCCTCTGAAACACAATACCTTTCAAGATTTTCAAGATAATTTTTCCCTATACCTTCAAAGAGCACAGTTGGGTTGTGTTTATTTGCGACAAGCTTTGAAAGCTACGTGGATACTAAAGAAACGACTCTACACTTAATCCCGACTTTAAAGCCAATCCCCCCCCCCCCCTCCCCTTCGAAGCGAGACTATCTTATTAAATAGCGAAGGCCAGACGAGGTGGCTTCAACTGATATCCCGACGTAAAGAAGTGAATTCGAACGTGAACATAACCTCAGGTACCGAAAATGGGCGACTCGCTGGTTACAACAGGGGGTATTTCAGATCCCGCCCTGATCAAGTACGTGTGATCTTGCGGTATCTGAATTCATGCGCGCAACTCGTTTTTTTGCTAACACCCCAACTTTAGACTTGTGAACAGACTGCAAGATGTCTTTTCCACCGTCGGCGTCAACAACCCTATCGATTTACCGCAAATAGTCGTCGTCGGAAGTCAATCTAGCGGTAAAAGTTCCGTGCTTGAGAACATCGTCGGTCGAGACTTGTGCGTCACCGCTCAAGCGGCCCCTTAAAGTTCCATCCCCACCCTTGAGGCTAACTAACTAACTCTCTCAACAGTTTACCTCGAGGTTCTGGTATCGTAACAAGACGACCCCTCATCCTACAACTTATCAACCGACCTGCTACCGCCCAAACGAACGGAGTCAACGAGGATGTCGATAGCTCTACGGATAAGGCAGCCAACGCGGACGAGTGGGGCGAGTTTCTGCACATTCCCGGGCAGAAGTTCTACGACTTTAACAAGATTCGAGATGAAATCAGCAGGGAGACCGAGGCCAAAGTTGGTCGCAACGCCGGCATTTCTGCCGCGCCGATTAATCTAAGGGTCTACTCCCCTAACGTCCTGACTTTAACCTTGGTCGATTTGCCTGGTCTAACGAAGGTCCCCGTAGGAGACCAACCGAGGGATATCGAGCGGCAAATCAAAGACATGGTTCTGAAATACATCCAAAAGTCAAATGCTATCATCTTAGCTGTTACCTCCGCCAATATTGATTTGGCGAATTCAGACGGTCTCAAGCTTGCCCGGGAAGTCGATCCCGAAGGACAGAGAACAATCGGTGTCTTAACGAAGGTGGATCTGATGGACGAGGGTACAGATGTTGTTGATATCCTTGCTGGGCGCGTTATCCCGCTCCGACTTGGATACGTGCCTGTTGTGAACAGAGGTCAAAGGGATATCGACAACAAGAAGCCCATTTCAGCATCCCTCGAAGCGGAGAAGAACTTCTTCGAGAACCATAAGGCCTATCGGAACAAGAGCTCATACTGCGGTACCCCGTACCTGGCGAGAAAGCTCAACTTGATTTTGATGATGCATATCAAGCAGACTCTGCCTGATATTAAAGCGAGAATTGCCAGTTCGCTACAAAAGTACTCGGCGGAGCTCGATAGTCTAGGCCCGTCAATGCTGGGCAATAGTGCGAATATTGTTCTTAACATTATAACCGAATTTACGAACGAATGGCGAACCGTTTTGGAAGGTAACAATGGCGAGCTGTCCAGCACGGAACTTTCTGGCGGTGCCCGAATCAGCTTCGTGTTCCACGAATTATATTCCAACGGTGTCAAGGCGGTCGATCCGTTTGATGTTGTGAAAGATGTCGATATCAGAACGATACTATACAACTCATCTGGTTCTTCCCCGGCGCTCTTTGTCGGAACTACCGCCTTCGAAGTCATCGTCAAGCAGCAAATCAAGCGGCTAGAAGAGCCTAGTCTCAAATGTGTTTCGCTCGTTTACGACGAACTTGTACGCATTTTGTCACAGCTTCTTACTAAGGCACTGTACAGGAGATACCCGCAGCTCAAGGAAAAGTTCCACAGTGTTGTTATCGGCTTCTTTAAGAAGGCTATGGAGCCCACCAATAAGCTTGTGAAGGATCTTGTCGCCATGGAGTCTTGTTACATCAACACGGCCCACCCTGACTTCCTTAACGGTCACCGAGCAATGGCCATCGTGAACGAGCGGTATAACGGCGCAAAGCCCGTTCAAGTCGATCCCAAGACTGGCAAGCCTCTACCAGCATCGGCTACACCAGCGCGTTCTGCTAGCCCCTCGTTGGATAGCCTCGATAACAACACGGGCTTCTTTGGCAGTTTCTTTGCCGCCAAGAACAAAAAGAAGGCCGCTGCCATGGAGGCTCCTCCTCCAACATTGAAGGCATCCGGAACTCTTTCAGAGAGAGAAAACATCGAGGTTGAAGTTATTAGTAAGCCTAACAAGACAGCTATTAATATTATATTACAATGCTGACGAATAATTACAGAGCTACTCATTGCTTCGTATTTCAACATTGTCAAGCGGACGATGATCGACATGGTCCCCAAGGCTATCATGCTGAACCTTGTCCAGTAAGTACCTATATATACGAGCTAAATGGTCTGATAAGTTGTAAGTTGCTAATTTTGGTTACAGATTTACAAAGGAGGAAATGCAACGAGAGCTCTTGGAGAATATGTACCGAAACGATACCCTGGATGACCTACTGAAGGAAAGTGACTACACCATCCGCCGGCGGAAGGAGTGCCAGCAAATGGTCGAGTCCCTCGGCAAGGCCAGCGAGATCGTCAGCCAGGTCCAGTAATGTTAAGGATCATGCCGCGGGATATCGAATAACTACTTTCTTGTCGGTCAGTTAGAATGACTATGGTCCCGGCTAGGCGCGACGTACCGAGCTACCACCGGAGCGTTGTCTTTATTATTAGTAGTGGTCGGGTTTTCGTCGAGTGTATGCCTTTCCTCTCTTCCTCCCCCCCTTTTTCATATAACATTAGTCACGTCACGTCATGTCATACCCCAACCCAAAACCCCTTTTAGACAAACGCAACGTTCCTCGGTAGATGTGATGAGAAATGGGCATTCCAATGAATGAAATACGGGATGATTAATGTACCTAGGATGAGAAATTGATTCTAAAAGCTATTTATTTTTTTTTCTCCTCTGGCGTCTCGTGTTTTGTTCTTGTGTATGTTTTTGGATCTACGTAATAGGTACCTAAAATACACCTTCTCCATCTGGCCAGGACGTGCTGGTCCGGCCGCTTGCTGCTTGCATTTGTAGTTTGCATGATACGAGATCTCGATGACAAGAACTAGGGAATAGGAATAGGGGATTCCCTTTTCGTTATTGTTATTGTTGCCATTACCATTATCATGAGGTGCGGTGCTCGATCCCGTCAGGGATCATTCTTCACCGAGGGGAGGGGAGGGGAGGGGATAGGCGCAAGCATTTGATTCTTGGGGGGGTTTTCCGGTGAGGCCGCGAGCCGGGTTAAATCGTACTTGCAAGGGCAAGTAAAGTTACCTGTTTAAGTTTGTTTCGTTTCTATTTCTGTTTATGTTGCTGTTTCGTTTTTTTTTCCTTTTCTTTAGGAGGTAGGTAGGAGGTACCTATGCACCGGCGAACACCGACGGGGGGAGGCCCGGGGTTGGTACGGAGGATCGGGAGATAGGGCCCGAGCGCGGAACGGGAGGTAGATCCCGAATCTGTGAACCTTACCTACCTCCTGGTACCTTACCGTTAGGTACCTACTATATAATGTAATGCAATGCAATGCAATGTAATGTGATGTACCTAAGGTCGCTGTGTGATTACAAAGATTATGTACCTAGGAGAATGCCTCGTAGATCTGATCCCACGGACGGATGGATGGATAGGTACCTAGGTACCTAGGTAGAATAGACGAAAGGGGGTCGGTAGGTAGGACTAGGACTTGGTCGGATTTAACGATATTGCAACGTTCAAGGCAGTGTATGATGTATATACTATATGCGTGTATATGCAGCTCGGTTCACTCGTACTGTGTTATAACTCCGGTTGTCTATTCATCTATTCATCCGTCTAGTCTAGGTACCTACATAGGTAGCTAATCTCTCTCGGCTTCTCGAAGCGTTACACGCTGACTAGCGCTTCATCCCACGTTGTTACTTTCCGCTACAATGATAATAATAATAATAATTATTATTATTCTTATTACTATTGTCTTCTATCAGGTACATAAGGTTTGGTTCGGCCACCGCTTCCCCGGAGAGGCCCCTGCTCTCGTGTTTCTCTCGGACTTATATATCAAGCTAGCCAGGTAGCTACCTAAACTAAGCTATATCCCCACGCAAGCACATGCATTGCATTTATATTTTTATACCTACCTAACCTATCTACCTACCTAGCTCATCGAATTTTCCGAAGGGTAAGGCAGGGGAAGCGGAGGTGGGGGGCATAGCTGAAGATCCCGGGGTAAGGATTTTGAGGCTGGCCCTCTGCCATGCCATGCCATGCCGTGCCGTGCCGTGCTGCAGGACAAGGGCAGCATATGCGACGGCCCGAACGGACTGACGCAGGGGACGAGATAGATGATAGATAGTTACATAAAAAGGAGATCATATACAAGGTATCTAGGTACCTAGGTGTGTACCTGAGATCTGACAGGTTTTAGGTTTGTTGGGGGGTCCTTCAGGAGTGTCTTTTTGGGGTTTAAGATTCGAGGGCAGAATGTGGAATGTGTAGGGATAGAGTGAAGAGAAAAGGGGGAGATAGTTTACACAGGAAGTATGTATCTCGAAACTGATTAGAGTAATCTTTAAGTTGCAAAAGATGACATATCGTAACATGGGCCGTTGAGTAAGAATTGAATGTAAATAGCAGAAGTTTAACTGCTTAGTCTGACGATAATCACACGTATTAGAGCTAACTGGCAGTGAGAAAGTTGGCGTGGGTGTTAGTGAGTTTTACGTGAGTCCCTCGTAAGTTGTAGTTATTCCGCCAACCGTTTTTGGGGGCCAAAGAGGGAATCTCGGTGTAGCGTGTAGCTGTAACTCGGCCGGAGAGCTTTACCTACCTAAGGTAAGCCAAGTCTGGGGACTTATGTCAGTATCCACAAGCCTTACGGGAGCAGCAGGTGGTAGGATGCAAAGTCATGAGGTACGTATAAGGTTAATCGTGATATGACGCCACGCCATCTCGCCTACGCGATGTATATATAGTAAACTGCCGTCCCCCATGGGCAGTCTGTCCCGATAAAGACGGTTAATACCGCTCGCCCCATGGCAGACCATAATCCGTCGGTAGCCGGGCGCGGCTTTGATTGGAAGGAGAAGAAGAAATAGGTTGGTGAGGTGTAGCCGTAGTAGGTATGAAATTGGAAAATGGGAAGCGGGCCGGCCGGTCGAGAGCAGGGTAGGGGAGGGATAACTTGCATTTTACTTGCATGCCTAGGTGTGCAGTGCGTGCTTACACACACACCGAGCACTGAACCTGGTAATATAGCTAAATAGTAATATGTATAACCCGCCCCTGGTAAAAAAGAACAGAATGGGACGGAAGAGGGAGAGAAAAAAAATAAGATTGCTGCATGAGATGACTTGGCGGTCAAAGAAAAAAAAAATGACAACCCGTCTTGGTTCCTTACTACATGCCCACGACGTGGAAAAGGCGCCGGAGAAACAAAGTCGAGTACCTGATTTACACGTAGAATGACTGGTCATTCATATACATCATTAGGTACTTGTTACCACGCCCTTCGAGGCGGTGACACAGGATAAGAAAATGGCTGTTTTTGCCTCTAATGCGGAAAATCATGTCGACATGCTTGGCTGCTTGCAGGGAGATTTTTCGCTAATTGATTTATACCGTGGGGGCCGCAGTTCTTTAACCCTATCTCGTCCGTCTGAGACAGCTACACCGCGAGTCGACAAGATATATAAGTCTTCACCATAGTCCAAAAGGTAGCTCGAGTTATGGTGATCTTCATCTGGCCAACCCAATAAGCGAGTCAAAAGAGGACGATTGGATATTGCCAACAATCGTTCTTGTCCGTACCCTCTTAACGAGTCTTCTGAACAATAATATGGCGGATATGTCAAGAAGCGACCCGCCGTCTCCTCCCCCGGCGCCGCCACCAAGTCCGAGCAAGACATAGATATATGATTGATATATGCTCATATCTTCTTGGAGGTGAGACTTTTGTCCCTAATAGAAACCTCTAAGAGCCAGATTAACTCATATTTCTAGTGAAACTAGTTATGTACCCCTACCGGGCTGAACGACAGACTCGAATGAGGTGCTCGATATCGACTGAACAGGGACACCTTCTTGTGTTCATCTGACGGAGGCTGATGAAAGCGAACGGAATCTTCGGGTCATATTTTAGACTGTGGATGGAGCTTTGATAGTCAAGATGATGAGAGGCAGAAACCGAGAGGCTTTGAAAATAATGGTTAGATAAAAGGACCTAATGTATGCCATAGATTAAACCTTTTTGAGAAATCATCCATCATAGTTTAGATTTATTCTTCAATATGAAGCCGCCGTCCCTAGTGTCGAAGTCTTTTCCTTTCTTCCATCCAAGCCAGTCTTTAAGGGCTTCTTCACCCCCTTGACCTGGGATGAGAAATGTGCCACTGTAACCGCCTCCGGGGATCCCAGGACCTTGCCCATGAATACTCGGATCCGTACCTTTCTGGCTAATAGCCAGACATGGCGTTTCGCGTAGAGTCACGGGTGGGCGTTGGTCACCTTCACGATTGTTGTCCATTTCTAGTTCGGAATATTCCAACACGGGAGTACAGCAAGAATCAGTGCCATCGAAGATCTTCTCCCACTCTGAGCGGGTCTTTGATTTGAAGATGGTTTCGAACTCTAGTCTCATTTCAGGCCATGACGCTCGATCGGAATGTCGTTTCTCCCATTTTTGGTTGCTTAAGCCTAGGCCTTTGATAAAGACAGCATAGAAATGCGGTTCTAAAGCTCCTACTGCCATGTATTTCCCATCCTTCGTCTCGTACGTATCATAATACGGGCAGCCTCCATCTAAGAGATTCTCGCCACGCGGATGATTGCCATATGGTAATTTGAGCCCTTGCCGAGGGAACGTGGCGAGATGGCTGGAGCCGTCAACCATGTTTGCCTCGACAATTTGCCCCTTTCCTGATTTTTCTCTAGCTATAATAGCGAGTAGAATGCCTTGAAATAATGAAGCACCTCCGCCAGCAAAGTCTGCCAAGATATTTTGTGGTGGGTATGGCTTATCCCCACTGCGACCCAGCAGAGAAAGCACTCCGGACACAGCGAGGTAATTGATATCGTGGCCAGCCATCTGAGCATACTTGCCGTCACGGCGAAATCCTGTCAGACGGCCGTAAATCAGGCGAGGATTTATGACACACAGGATCTGCGGGCCAATGCCCAGCTTTTCCAATACGCCAGGGCGGAATGGATCAATTATCACATCAGCAGTCTTAGATAATTCCTTAATAAACTCGACACCATCTTGGGATTTTAGATCCACAGCTATAGAAGACTTATGTCTTGTAAGTATATCCGGTGCCGGGACCGCTTGACCAGCAGTTGTATGGCGATCAATCCGAAGGACTTTGGCGCCAGCATCTGCTAGAAGTAAGCCAGTATAAGGTCCTAATTATGTATTAGCCTGCCGGATTGCCGATTACTTAGGTACCTATAGGAGCATGACCGACCCGGTGCTAAACCAGCAAATTCAAGGACTTTGAGCCCCTGAAGTGGTGGGGGGCCAACCATTGTTTCTGGCTGCGAAAGTTGTTTAGTGTTCAATCGTTGATAATTCCAGAAGTATTTACGTCGTTGAGGAATGATGATAATGACGATGATATTTAGCGGCCAGATGTTGTGTAAGCTTCCTGTTTGCTGTTGATGGGTAGAAGAGATCCTCGGTTGTAGGTATAACAAACATCTAACAAAACGTGGAGAACCGAGGTCTCTACCTAATGCATCTCTATGCAGGCCACAGTGTGACAGGATGTTTAATTGGCACCGTCACGTGTGTCCTCAACTCTTGACTCTTAACTCTTCCCTGGTCCCTTTTTCTTGCTTTGAGTTTCAGGGACCAACCCAGCTTTGACAAACGCATCTCTGGCGGTTTGGTTAATCAGGGCAAAGCGGCGAGGACCAAGTTTATGTCCCCCATACCATCGAGTAACAACCACCATCACGTCCCAGAGGTCCATCAACTGCATGAGATGTAAGACCCGGCCGCCAGCTGCAGTCTCGCCGTCGTCGTTGCAATCCTGAAATGTGGTGTTATTTGGGCCCTTTATGCGCCATGCTGTGATATTGTGCGTGGCAGTTCGAACTTTCTTGTCAGTAGATAAAAGGTGCTGAAGAAAGGCCTCGGCTTCTTCAGTTGACGAAACCTTGGCGCATCGGGCAATGAAAGTCGACTTCAACTCAACAAATGGATCTGACATAATCCACGGGGGTTCTTGCATGCTGATCTGCTTAGAATCTGCTGCAAGTTTAGCGGAGAGTTGAGGATTTGCGTCATCTTCATGGGGAGCATCCTCAGGTTGGGACTCTGTAGGAATCTCAGACTCAAGAAGCCGATTCAATTCCTCGATTGCATCGAAGAGGCAGACAGCTCCCGGTTGGTAAACTGTGCTCACGGCCTGGCAGAATAAAGACAATTCCCGGGCTGCATCGCCACGCTTTCCATGCTCGCCAGTACTATTAGTACCTAGAACAACGGGAGGCACTGCGGGATAGGTAGGGGGAAACTCGATGCGGAGAGAGGATGACTCGCCGGGTGGTGATAGGACATACACATTGGCTTCGCTCGACGACGGTACCAAGCAACCTTGGCCATAAATTGAGTTGATGGCCTCAATCTCATCCTGAAGCTCTTCAGACATGTTGCTCCTTTCACTTGCAGGCTCATGAGAAATTCATACAAAATACAGGGATAGGAATAATGATGAGGGAGATGGTCTGGTTATGAATAACGATTATAAACCTTCACACTGTGTGCCCTAGAAAGTAAAGGCAGATAGATTGTGATGAGGCTGTGAGGGTAGCGTGGGGGAGCTTTACTACAGCTTAGTACGAACGGAGGAATATATGAACGTATGAATGTAACTTGGGAGAATGGGCGTTTGAACATGGAAATGTGTGCTAATGAATCAAACTAACATTATGTAACTGAAAAGTACAATCCCGGTAATAAGCATTATTCATCTTTCCCATGAGGATTCCTCTAGATACACCCCAGCTTGAAAGAAAGACCCCAAGGGTTGGCCTAATAAAAAAAAAAGTTTTGACTTTATCAACTTATCGATAGCTGCTAGAGGCACCTAAGTACCCACATACTATGTAATAACTTTATTCTAGACGTTCGTGGAGGACTCGAGAAATCGATAAGCTAGAACCTTACTCAACTCAGAATCTACCTAGGAGATACCTAACCTTATGTAGAACCCAACCCCACGCCGGTTCGCCCCTCCAAATTCCCATGTCGTAAGCTCCGAGTTCCCGACCAACATCTTTTTTCTCCAGAAGCGCCGAACTCGAAGCTTGCTTAAAAGCACATACAACATATATAAGAAATAAAAATAAGAAAATAGCAGGTGTCAGCGCTATTAAGTTTAGCTCCTGTCAATACCTTCCGGCTTAGAAGTTTGGGTATTATCGCTTGTAATATCTCCTCTATTTTTCCTTGTAGAACCTACCCATCTCGTTCGGCTTTCCCTTTCCGGCTTTCTTCCACCGTCCTAATAAGCCGTTAAGCATGGCATCTGCCGTAGATCAGGCAAATGCCTACAAGAATGAGGGTAACAAAGCTTTTGCGGCGCACGACTGGCCAAAAGCCATTGAACTTTATACTAAGGCTATCGAGCTGAACGATAAAGAGCCGACTTATTATACGAATAGGGCTCAAGTTGGTAATACCCTATTCAAGCCTTGAACGCTCGCGTGACTGACCTTCATTCCTATCCTAGGCGCATATCAAGTCAGAATCTTACGGCTATGCTATTGCTGATGCCACAAAAGCTATCGAGCTTAACCCCAAGTTTGTAAAAGTACTTAATATACATATCTTCAGTTTTGGGGTCGCTCCTCGTCAGTGCTGACCTGACCGAAATTAGGCTTATTTCCGCCGTGCTGTCGCTTCTGCTGCTATCCTAAAACCTAAGGATGCCGTACGAGATTTCAAGAAATGTGTCGAGCTCGACCCCACGAACAAAGATGCCAAGCTCAAGCTTGCCGAGAGCCAAAAGATAGTGCGGCAGTTAAACTTTTATGCTGCTATCGACGTAGGGGACGAGCCCTCTGCAGCAGAGGGTCTCGATATCGCATCTATGGCCGTCGAACCAGACTACGACGGTGTAGAGCTGAAGGACCAGATGACCCAAGAGTTTATCGACGACATGATCGAGAGGTTCAAGAATGGAAAGAAGATACACAAGAAATATGTCTACCAAATCATCATTGCGGTGAAGAATATCGTATATAATGAGCCGACTATGGTGGAGATGGAGATTCCGGAAGATGTGAAGCTTACTGTTTGTGGCGACACACATGGTAAGCTAAATAACATAATGTTCAACCGAATGGAGACTAACCTTTATTATAGGGCAATACTACGACCTAATGGAGCTTTTCAGGCTAAATGGTCGTCCAACAGAAAAGCATTGGTACTTGTTTAACGGTGATTTCGTAGATCGAGGTTCTTGGTCAACAGAAATCGCCCTATTGCTTTACGCTTATAAGTGGCTGCGTCCGAACGGGATGTTCCTGAACAGAGGTAACCACGAAACCGATGATATGAATAAGGTTTACGGCTTTGAGGGAGAATGCAAAGCCAAGTACAACGAACGGTATGCCATCAATCGTATTTTAAGGCCATCTGCAGATTCTAACTGGATTCTAGCGTGTTCAAGCTGTTCTCTGAAAGCTTTTCTGCGCTGCCGTTGGCAACTCTCATCGGTTCGAAATACCTCGTCTTACATGGTGGCCTGTTCTCAGACGATAATGTCACTCTGGATGATATCCGAAAGGTTAACAGGCATGCTCAAAGGCAACCTGGTCAATCTGGCCTGATGATGGAAATGCTCTGGACGGACCCTCAACCGGCTCCTGGGCGAGGTCCTAGCAAACGAGGAGTGGGTATGCAATTCGGACCGGACGTAACGAAGAGGTTCTGTGAAAAGAACGGTCTGGACGCTATCATCCGCAGTCACGAAGTCCGTATGAATGGCTATGAAGAGGAGCACGATGGAAAGTGTATCACTGGTAAATGATCTTTTGAGTCGTTAACTCGATTACTATTTTGCTAACTAGTTCCCAGTCTTCTCGGCACCGAAATACTGCGATCAAACAGAGAACAGAGGCGCGTACATCAACATCGGTCCCGATTACAAGTTGAACTTCCACCAATTTGACGCCGTCCCTCATCCTCCAATTCGGCCGATGGTGAGTCCCTAGTCCAAGCCGCGAGGCCAAACATTTCAGGCTAACCCCTTTTTAGGCGTATGCAAATAACTCGCTTATGTCGATGATGTAAGAGGCATTTTGGTTTTGGTGTTTCCAAATGGTGATCTTGCATTGGACGGGCGGCTTGATGGTGGCATCTTGGCATATATGACACTTGAACGTCAGGGAAGCATAGGCGTTGCGGGGATTAGGTAGGAGAGGAAACTGGATATACCATTAGGGCGGTACCAATGGAAATGTAGTTTGAGATTAAGTTTTGATTCCTCGGCGTGTTGGTAATGGGTTGATATGGTTGATATGATGGCCTTCATCCATTAAACTTCAACCAGTCCATAGCTCATCCTCCCCATCTCTCCCTACTAAGGCACCAAGCCAATCAGAACACCCTCGTATCCGAAGTGACGAGTGAACGCCGTCCTGATAAGAGCCTTGCCAGGCCGTGATAGCTGCAGCGAAGGCTCCTAAGTCGTCTCGCGGGACTCTTAGCCAGCAATCCTTCCCATCCACTTTAAGGATGTCTAACGGAATTCCCATGCCTGTAGCGCCTAAGAATTGCTTCAGGGCAGATGTACACTTAGATCGTACTTGGAGAGCATCTAATACACCTGGATCGGCCGAGGCATTGAAAAGCTCTAGATGCGCGTAGGAATAACGCGGTGCTTTGATACTAATTGCGGCTAGCTCGTGAGACTTTTTGACCTTGGCAGCTGCATTCTGCGTGCCGGTCATGGATATATCAGCTTCTTCGGTCATAATGCCTTTAATGCCTTTAAATGTATTGTAGTTATTCTTTTTGTCTTTAATATGATATGATATGGTACGGGATTTATTTTATTTATTATTTACCTGAATTAAAAAGTACTGGGGTACTTCTCTTAATATGGATGTACCTAAGTACATTCGGATAGTTGCATGCAAAATGCTCTTTCCAGATCTATGAAATCTAGTGACTAGAAAGTAATATTTTCAGGTGCTAGACTTAACCTAAAACAGACAGTTGTATGATTTCCAACTAGATCTTCTCTTTGATTGGCTTCAATTTTTGGAAGGAAGTTTGCTTGTCTGTATTTTTTGAGGTATTCTATTCACAGTTGTACTTTGAAAAAGTGAATTGCACCTGCTACAGTGACAGGAAGTAGGTACCTATGTAGCACATGCAGGATCACCCTGGGCTGCCCCCCAGATTAGTATTAAACCCGGATAATTCCATACACTTTTATTTATCCGAAAACACATACCGCATCCCACATTCCACGTGACATTGAAGCAAAAGTTGTATCAAACCGATACTCATTTAACCGGCATAATGAACAGAGCACAACAGGGCAATAATAATGGGGCGCAAGCTCGTCTAGCTAGACAGTGCGCTAACCCTGCAATTGTCTCTAGCTCAGGCGCTGGTGGTAATGTTCCTAGCAACAACCTTCCCAATCAAGTTCCCTTTCAACTTCCCATTCAAGCTGTTCCCGGCGGACAACACCATTTTTTTCAAGAAGCTGCTGCCAATCAAGGAATTGCAATCCAAGAACCTCTAAATCAGCACATTCCGAACCAGTTTCCCAATTTCGGATTCAACCCGGCTATCAATCCGGGTTTGGTTCCGGGTTTGGTTCCGGGGCACAATTTCAATCCAGCCTTCGTCCAAGGCTTCAACTTCAATCAGGGTTACTATATCAACCAACCCAACTATCCCTTCGGCCCCTTACCCATACGTATTCCCTGGAATCATTTCAATACTTTAAACTTTAATCAATTCGGGTTCAACCCGGCAACTCACGCCGCCTACGCTATCCCCCTAAACACCTCCAACATCCCACTCTTTATCAATAACCTCATCCTCCTAGGATACGTTCCTCTACACTTGATCGCCTTGTTACCCGTCGCAGGTCAGCAGCTTCCTGATTTTCAGTTGTTTCATAACGATCTCGACCTTGCCAACGAGGATTGGCACTACAACGGGGGCTTGTTCGAGGAAGAAGAGATCGCGCAAGAAGAAGAGCTTCAGGACTCCGAGGTAGACGTCGACAGCGATATCGACCTAGGCTACTACTTTGACGAACCTGGTCACGAAGAAATTGTTCCTGAAGTGATTCCTGAGGTCATTCCTCAGGTTGTTCCTCAGGTTGTTTCTCGACACGGCGAAGAGGTTAGAGGTGGTCCCGACGATCAGGTTTCAGCCACAGCTCGTGGTTCTACCGAAGATTCCGACGAAGAAACAAAGGACAACGAAGAGGACGAGCCCGATAAAGATTGCGACCAAGACGATTCTAAAAGCCAGGACGACTCCGACGATCGAGACGATAACAATCAAGGAGCTGCCCCGTCAGCAAGTTCTGATAGCGAACACTCTGACCACCAAGGTTCTGACGGTCAGACCTCCAACAAGAAGACTTCGGACGGTGAAATCTCCGACCCCAAGACTCCTGACAACCCTGGATCTTCTGGTACTGCCTCCAAAGAAGCTTCCGAGATGGCTTCTCAGAATCTGGCCAGCATGGTAATTCCGCCTAACCAGTGGCGATACGCCCGCGCGTGCATGGTCTGTTCCATTATCATGACGCAATCCGTACGTATTTTCATAACGTCGTGTTCCCCTTCGCACTTATCCTAACTTGTTTATGTCTTGTATCATTAAAAATGCTAACCTAGATTAATCTAAACAGCACTTCCGAGCCGACGGCTGTCCCAACTGTCCCTTCCTAGACCTCAAGGGATCCCCCGAGGCCATTGAGGCCTGCACCTCGAGCCAGTTCGAGGGCACTATGTCGTGTTTCCAGCCGCGCCGTTCTTGGGTCGCGCGCTGGCAGCGCGTCGATACCTTCGTCCCCGGTACTTACGCTATCAAAGTAAATGGTTCTCTGCCGGAGGATATCAAAGTTGCCATGGAGGACCAGGGGAATACGTACATCCCGTAAGTGTTTTTTTATATATATATATCTTGAATCTTGTTGCTTGAAAGTAGAAGTTAACCTGTTTTCTTCTTTCTACGTAGCCGCGACGGAAGCGCGCTCGACATCGACTAGACAGCGAAGGAGGGCGTTACCGGGCAGGGTGGGCGTGCTGCCAAGCAATCTGCTCAGAACGGGGCCATTGCACAGGCCAAAGGCAAGGGCAAGAACCAAAAAAAGAATGCCCAGAGGAAGAAGAAGAAGCAGCTGCAGAAGAACAGTCGGATGGGAAAGACCGCTGAGCAGCATGGAAGCGACCAGCAGGGTCAGGGTCAGCAGGCTGAGCAGAACGCAGCTGAGAAGACGGATGAGGTAATGGTCGACATTGGTTCTAGCATTGCTTGAGATACCAGACGTTTGCGTTTCGGTTTTCTGCACAGGTTTGAGTTCATTCTCCCTGGCTTTGCATTAGGAAAAGGTCGATGGTGGTACACTGCCATCGTCATGGTTCGGTATAATCCGGTATGGCATCTTTCTACTTATAGACCTGGCCTCCTTATACATACTACTACTCCCTAAGGGTTATCTCCCCTATAATGATTGTCATCTTGGCCACGAGTGGTCATTACTATCGGAGTTAGTTAGGAGGTAGTTAGGTAATTGCATCGCGTTTGCATTATGTTCCTTGTTTCTTATGTTGCGTGCTATTTCTCGTGTTTCGTTCGCCCGCTATTAGGCTAGGTCAGGTTACGTGCCTACTTACTTTTTCCGAGTGATGCCTCTTTACTTACATGCACAGAGTCAGTCAGGCCACTTGTTAATTCACAGGTTTTTCGTTATTCTTATTATCATTATTGTTTTCCTTATAGCACACTTTAACTAACCTAGTCCCCCCCTACCTGAAATATCCCTTACCTTAGGTTAGGTACCTAGGTAGGCACATAAGGCATATACTAAACTAAACCCCTAGGTAGGTAGGTAATCAGATGAACCCTTTCCGCCTCATCTCCACCGCCTCCGGGTCGTCGGTAAAAAAGGGCGTGATATTGGCAGTGGCTTTAAACCGCTCCCACTCCCGCTCCCGTTCTTGCTCTGCGACACCGGCACCGACACTGATGCCAGCATCCGCATCCGCATTCGCACCCGCGTAGCAGTCGATTATGTCCTCGATCTCCCGGTACAGCAGTGTGTCCCGCGAGGGACGGTAAACACTGCTGCTGCTGCTGCTGCTGCTGCTCTGGCGCGGGTGGTCGAGGTCCTGCTGGTAGTCCGGGTGGTTGTAGTGGTGGTGTCTGCTTGCAATACGCGCTATCAGGGGAGCTGGGTATATGTCGCGAGGCTTGTGCATGTCGGGAGCGGAGTACGGGGATACCGGGCTGTTATCCTCGTCGTCGTCATCGGTGCTGTTAGTCAGGGAGCTGGTCCGCTTGTCTGTTGTCCAGGAGGAGTCGCTGGCGGGCTTGTCGGCTTCTTGACCTTCGTCTTCCCCTTCTTGTTTTGGTTCCGTGGTATACTTGTAACGGGCGTTATCATTGTGGTTGGATTGTGTGGGGGGGGGTATGGGTATGAGGTTGGGGTTGATGCCGAACGTATCCTGGCGGAAAGGAAATACCAGGCCGAAGGCTTCGGGTTGGGGATTGGGAGGGCGAGGGGGAGGGGGAGGGGGAGGAAGGTGGTTATGGTTGTGGTGGTGACGTGCCGGTTGGGTTGACAGGGAAGTACGCCAGGTTAACCCGTCCCTTTCGTCCTCGTTGCCGGTCTCCTCACTACTGCTACTACTACTACTACACCTCCCCCCGCCATTCCCACCCGCCCTCTGCCGCGCTTCCACGATCTGCCGCCTCTTCCCCCTCGGCGCGGGAAGCAGCTTGAAGTTCCCAACACTAAATCTCTTGTCGAAATGAGCGGACTGTCTCCGCATACCACCACCGCCACCGCCATTACTCTTACTCCTTCCGCCGACGGGGACGTAATTCGTCTTCTTCTTCTCCTCATCATCCCCACCCTCGCCCTCGCCCTCGTCCTCAGTACTAGCAGTAACGCCGACGAGAGCGTGCAGGATATCCAGCTCCGCGTCCTTGACGGCCGTGGTCGACGGCCGCAGCGACGACCACGACGGGCCGAAGAAGGCGCTCTCGCGCGGACACAGCGCGTCGTGGCACGCCGCGCACAGGTTATCTTTCTTCTCGCGGTCCGTCGTGAGGGTTGCGTGGCACCCGCGCCAGGGGCACGTTTGCGGGGGCGAAGGAGGGGAAGATGGGGAAGAGGGAGAGCGGGAACGGGAGTGGGAGCGAGGGAGAGCAAGGGGGTTGTCGGCTACGGTCGAGGGGAAGCGAGAACGCGAGGTGGGTGATGAATTTAGGATCAGGCCCGGCGCCAACTCGCTTCCCGGGGAGGAGGAGTTGGATATCGACGACGGCTTGGGCTTGGGCTCGCGGTTGAAGAGCTTGGATACCTCGATGTCGGCTGCGGTTCTGCTGTTATCCGACACTCGTGAGCTACTATGCCCCTCTGAAAGCTGACTAGTGACAGTTGAGGTGTTGGTGGTGGTGGTAGAGATTGTCTTCCCCGGCAGGGGAGATACTCGTCGGTTAGACTCCTCGCTGTACCGGATGATAGGGCCTCGGTCCAAGCTGCCAGTGGGGTATATTTGCATCATCCTGGAGCTAGGAGATACGGCAAGGTCCGTTGTAGTGATGTCCTTGGGCGGTTGCCGGTCGTCGCTTGGCTGCCATTGCGGCTCACTAAACGACGGGGCCAGGGGACTAATCCTATTGCTCCTCGGGCTCATGGACGAATAACTGAAGTTCGGCACGGGGCTCTGCGGTGTCTGGCCGCGGTCGCTCAGCTCATAGTGCCTCTGGCTCCGCTCCTGCATCCGCCTGATCTGCGCGGCGTACTCTTCGTCGGACACCATCTCCTGACCACGCTTGTCTACGCGCGGCCTATCCGGGTGATGCGTGCCTTGGAAGCTGGCGATCCAATCTTGCTGGTCCCCCTTGAACTTCCCTGATGATGTCTTCTTCCCCTTTCCCTTCCCCTTCTTCTTCTCCTCAGGACTCTTCTGTCGGAAGCTTCCCAACACCCTCGAAATCAAGCCGGGACTACTATTGGGCCTCAAGACGGCGGAAAAGCTGGTTTTTCGGGACGAGCCCACGCTTCGGTGACGGTAATTTTCCTGTACCATTTGTTCTCTGTTTCTCCTATTCCCTATTCCCTATCCCCTGTTCCGTAGGTAGTAGTATTCTCGATGGCAAATGTACCTAATCTTTCCTCCCTTCGTATTTCCCTATTGAAAATTGATATGAAATACCTATTGTATGAGAATTAAATATTAAGTATTAAAATGATGATATATAAAAAAAGAAGTAAAAATTAGAAGTCGCTATGCTACTAGGAATGGATATGCTATGCGTTCATCAATACCAAATCATGGCGTCAGTAACGGGTGGCAAGTAGAAATAGTGAAAAGTAAAAAAAAAAAAAAATTAGTTCTAGAGTCAAGCGGCGACAGGCTGTCGGGAATAGGTCGTAATTCATTAATGACGGCGTATTTTTTTTGTTACGATAAACCAAGTGAATTTTGGCGTTTCTTTGAATAGCATGTCGGACTTGCATGACTCCTTTCTTTCGTCACAAGGTTGATTATGGCGGTGCTACGATTGTCTGCTATTGTGAACCACGAGGGAGTCACAATGAAACATTGCGCTTTGTACCTCGGACTTCTTGACCCCTTAACCAACGCATTATGATTTACATCAAAGGGGTAGCTGCCCATTGTGTAGGTGCTGAATGAATAGACCTGTACTTATCGGTGTCGTCAGGGGGTTAGGTGACTCCAGTCTACACTGACATAGAACTAACCTAGGTAGTTTATTCGGTATGGAATCTTTTACTAATGTGTTGCTGTGTTTTCCAAACAGCTGTAGCCTGTAGTAATGATATTACTTCCCCTTTCTCCAGTTTTCGAAGTACAGTTAACTGCCAATACCCGGCTTGGATTATCATGTAAATCAGACCTATTACGATGAATATCAGTCCGAAACTACCTCCTTGGGTGAATAATCATCTCATACTCTTGTAGTTTGGCGCTATCATGTAGTGTCATTAGGTCTTCTCGTCTTGTCCAACTTGCCTTTATGAAATCTACCAATACGTCACCAGACAAAGATTGCGGAAGCTCCAGGAAGATAAATCATTGTTCTGCTTCAAAGGGAGTCTTATGTCAACCAGGTAATTAGTGCGGGAAGCAGTGGGTAATAGCAGCGAGTGGGCGAATCTATTAGCTGGAAATCTAGCCTCGGGTATATGAAACAGGGTCGGTGAGAAGCCTACTGCAAATATTGACGCAAAATTACTCTCGGGATACTTTTCTAAATAGATACTTAGGTGATGACCTCCTATTATTACCAAGGCCCCAAACTGAGTCTTCTCTAGATTATGCTATGTTACAGACTGACTGTCACTGTCATATTATTGCTCAAAACTAGTAAAACTGGTGGCAGCTCGTGACACAGCACCTCAATATCAGTCAAATATCTGAGACTGGCCTCCTCGCTTTTACACGTCCCCTCCTCCGGAATCGGAAGAGTTGTGAACAGCACCGCCGTATCGCTGCTATGTTGACGCATCAGTTCGTTAAGGATTAGGTGTTGGGCCCTACTAGGTAGATCGTTGAAGGAAAGGGGTAGACTCTGCGTTGAGTAAGATGAGTGAGACTCGTCGTCAGATAAGCCAGTCGAACGGTGAGATGCTAGCAACTCTGGTATATTGAATGCTGCATCCGAAAGTCCCCCACTACGGGATGCCGAGTTTCTTCTGGATCTCAATGGTGGCTCGAAAGCGCTATACTCAGGTTCCGCAAATGTAAGGCGAGGAACATGGTCGTCTTCAGCCTCAATCTTGGTCTCTGGGACGGGTCGGCTAGAGAAAGGACCGGCAGAGGCGTTTCGTGATAATATAGGACGCCTGACTCTGGTCGGCACCGGCTGCTCTGCATCTAAGAACGTAATTCTCGATCCTGAAGAATCGTTGACCAAAACAGTCGTTTCTGGTGTCGGGTTACTGGTAAATCGGCTTGCTGATGAATTACGCGACAGAGTAGGCCTAGTCGGTGCTTTCGGTACAATAGGGGATGTTTCTGTTGGCAATGCTGCGGTACCGGAGCGACTGGTCAAGCTCTGCATTCGCTCAGTCTTGGGTAGGACTGGCGTTAAAGTCGCCCCTGTCATAGGAGTCATCGTACCATACCCTGACGAAATGGCTGCATCCGGTCCTCCCAAATACTGGCCTTGGATTTGCTCTGGGCTTCTTGATGGCATCGCCCTTTGCAAAATATCTCCATAGCTTCTCCTCCGTCCTCCAAAGGCCAAGAAACTAGGCCTTCGCGACGACGATATCTCTCCCATATCAGCAATAGTTGCAGTGCCACTGACATCGTTGAATTCAGTGTCCGATGACGCAATAGATTCGCCGTCGTCGTCGCTAAAGTCGGGTGTATTCGTATCTGTTCGAACGCCAAATCCCGAAGAGCTCAGCCGGTGAGTATGGATGCCGAAGTTGACACCCAATTTCGATATAGCAGAAACGCTTGGCTTCTTAGATCTTTCTAGGATCTCGTTAACATCTAGCCCCCTCGGTAGACTATGGTAGCCGTCAGACTTGGACACTGAACTGCCTCTGCGTTTAGTGGCATTCAACATTTGTTCTAGGGATGCAATTTCTTGAGACCGAGACATTTCGTGAGCTTCGGTTCTCAACCTTTGAAGCTCTTGCCACCATTCGTCGTCCTTTAGCAACTCGTCTACAACACGTCCATACCCGGAGCCAATCCCTCGGCCGTTGACAATACTTTCGTAGCTCTGTAACTGTCCCGAAGCAAGCCAGAATACTCGAATCGTAGCGTCAATTCGTAGCTTTTCCAGCAGTGCCTTTAGTCTAGTCTGTTCTTCTTTAACTTCGCTCTCGTACTCAACGAATACCAAGACTCGAAGCTGAAACGCCTTCTTCCAGGCTGGAACACTCCGTAGAATATAGCCAAGTTGTAGTATCAAGGTGTCTCCATTAGTCTATTAGTTTATATTCTTCGATTTGTGCGTGGGAGAACGTACATGTATCAAAATTTGTCGTCCAGATACTTTTGTCGCCATCGGTGATTTCAGCCGACATCTGAATTGGCCAAAGGTCTATATACCTTTTAGCATTATTACCATCGCCGCGCGGGGTTTCCAAGGTTTGAAACCCCTTTCCAATAGCGACATTCAGACGATGGCGGAGCGCAAGATCTTCAAGAATTGTCAAATAGCTCTCGACAGACATCATAGCCTCTGTGCGTATGGCGTCCGTTGGGAGGAACCCATCGAGTAGACGGGCAGATGTGTCCCCGCGCTGGCGTCTTGTCGATTTACCTTCAGCCTTTGTTTCGGTTTGAATTCGGGTAGGCGTGCTAGGAACTTCTGGCATCCGTCCAAGCGGTCGCGACTTGCGTAACTCATCCATGTTGTAAAAGCCTAGGATGGCTATGTTAGGTCTCATGCCGCCTAAGCCTGCAGAGAGTATGAGATTTCGCACTCCCCAGACTATGGATGGCGACATTGTTAACTGGACGAATGCCTTGATCCTTGAGAATTCTGATATATACCGAGTCCAAGCTGATTGCTGCAACTTTGCCTCGTGTATACCAGAACTAAAGTCATCTGTCACTATAACGTGTCCCAGGATGTACAGAGACCCTTTCTTCAAAGAGTTGCAGAACTGGATGAGATGTGTATGATGCCGTGGGTCGTTTATTAAGAGTATGATCTGGGGTCTCCAGAATTTAATATGTTCGGGTTTAAGTCGTAAGAGGTATTTTCGCACTTGATGGTAGATCAAATTTTGAGATACATCGCCCCAATGTTTTGGCGGACTCATATAATGAAGAATTAGAAAGAGAAAGATGAGAACACAGATGGCAGCGGCCGCATAAGTCTCATCTATGAAGAACATTGAGGCGGCAGATATAATACTTCCAACGAAAGCAGTGTGCCAGCTGAAGAATTTGAATGCAGGCCGGAAATTGGGAGCTGACCCTATCTTTAGCAGGAAACATGCTAAATTCATGACGAAGAATGTCATCTATATTGGTCATTAGTTATATAAGCCAAGCTGATATATATGAATGCCCTCACCTGGTAGCTCATAGATATGAATGTTGCAATTTGATTCAAGTCCGCGAATAGAGAAACTTGCGCTATGACATACGTGACGAATATTGCAAGTATAGGATCATCGCGTTTGTTTCCATTTCCAAAAATGGATAATCCGGGAAGGAGTTTATCTCGACCAAGGGCCTGGAGGAGTTTAGAACCACCAATGATCCCCATCAATGACGAAAAGAAAGTTGTTGCACACTCTCCGGCAAGAATCAATGGTGACCATATACTTGTGGTAGATATAATATTCGTATCTCGGAGGAACGAAGGGTGAGTAATACTGGAAGCCATCGACAGGATAACGACAAGATAAAGGACAAATGTCGCAGCCATAGCCCACAATGTCCCTTTTGGAATTGCTTTACTTGGGTTCTTAAGGTCCCCAGACATCGACGCCCCTGCAAAGATGCCGGATGTAGCACTAAAGAGGATACCGAATAGCTCTCTGAATGTCTCAACTCCTCGATATCCGGGGACGCCGGCATGTGGAAAGAGGTTAGAACGCATCGTGTCTAGACTCACCCCTGTGAATTCAATTCCACTATCATCGTCTTTGAACGGACTCATCGAGATAGCCGAAATTGGGATGCTTATAATGGCCAAAGTTAGTATGATGGTTAAAGCGCCGCTTGCTTTCACAAAGAGAGAACGCCCCGCGAGACTCAGACCTGTACAGAGGACGAGGGCGGCAGTCTGCATACCATAGCTTTCCCAGTAGCCATGTGGCACTAGAGTCCCCAGGTTCAGTTTTACGCAGTCTATAAGGCCGACAATATTGAGCGATGTGTTGACAGCTTGGGCGAGATAGAACATGATACCAATCGAGCCGCCAAACTCAGGACCGAGGGACCTTGAAATTAAGTAGTAAGCACCGCCACCCTTAACCTCCCCGTTGGATGCTATAGCAGAAAGCGAGAGGGTAGTGATGAAATCGACGATATAAGCTACGATAAGTAAACCTGCAAGGAGTATTCATATGTAAGGTGCCAGCTCGTCGTGCAGGTGCTAATAAGACCTACCTAGCATTCCAATCAAACCAATCCGACCCATTATCGAGCCGAAACGAAGGAACATCAAAATACTGATAATATTTGAAACCACTGGAACGAAGACTCCGGCATTGACACCAAGTTTGACCTTCCTGTTGGACGGTGCTAAGCCGGAGCCTCTATTATCTCCTCGGAATTCCGGACGCATGGTGTATGTGTTAACGGACCGTACCGTACCGGGTTCTTACTGCTTGATGTTACAAAGTCTTATGATGGATGATCCGGTAGCTACCTAGATATTAGGTAGATATTAGGTAGGTTTTTGGTTGCAAAAGTCTACTAGCTCCCGCGGAAAGTAGGCATATTGGAAATTGGAATATTATTGACAATGCTGGCGCAATGTGACTACATTGTCATATAGCAACCCCGCTCGATGCTGAGCGCTTGGGATCGTCGAAATCAGCAGTCAAGAAGATGCACAAGTCAAATATCAGAGGAGATGAGGAGTGGCTAGACTAGTTGTAGCCTAGCCATATTCCCCACAGTCTGTTTCTTGACACGAATAAAGCTTGGCCCAATGACGTTGGGCAGCTGATCCCAAACGAGACATGCAGCCTGGGGTTTGTTGAGGATTTTGAGTATGATGGAGACCAATTGTTATTTTTTTGTAGTAATTGGTAAAAAGAAAGACGAGATGAAAGATTTTAGATTAATAAGCTTTTCCTATAGTTAAACAAAGTTATAAAGTGTATTATTGTATTATAGTTAGCTAATCTCCATGTTAACCTCAGCTTAAGACCCAAGTAAAAATATCCTTCGTCCCTTCTTTAATAGTGTGCCCGTTTGTACAAATTACGTACAACGCAATACCAGGTCCACTTCTTATTTGTGTACCGGTCCGAAATGTTCCCAGGTAGCTCGGAGATAAACTGACCGCTGCCAATTGGCTGAAGTACCCAAAAGCTTACAGGTCCCGTCCCGTGGTACGGCTCAAATGATGCAGTTGACCGACTTGGGGCCCAATTCTTCAGGGTCTGACTGATAAGCTACCTGCATCACGAGGGCTGCTACACTGTACTTTAGGTACCTTACGTACCTACCTATCTCCTTCTTACACCTTCTTACACCATCGCATCTTCTTACTCTACTTCCTTTTCGCATCTCTTGGTATGCCTAAGACAAACCTTTGTCCTTTGAATTAAACTTGCTAGTGTATTATCTCCATTGAGTCCCCGAATTCTGTGATTGACTCTTATTACAATTAGTTCCCTAGAGCTTCGCTTTCCAACCAGTCGTGCTCCCTCCAGTGCCCATTTCCCAGCCTCTTCGCCGCCAGCCCCGACGTCGCTGATACTTCAATGCTAACTCCTTGTCATCGACTGCTGTTCTAAAATTTACCATGGCGAATTCCGATCAGTCAAGAAGTACAACGCCACAGCCTGGAGCTTCTTCAGGCGTACAAATATCGTCGTCTCCAGCTTCTGGCCGCATGTATGGAACCTCGGTGCCTCGCGCTGATGTGACCGCTCGTCTAGCCTCTCCCGTACCTTATGCCTTTGGAACTTCGCCATCCCAAAGATCTCAGGGGGCCGCTCGGACTGAAGAAAATGTTGAGAATGTAGGGCCTCTTGCCGGTGCTGGCCAGAGTTCTACTGGCCCTGGCGTGTCTGCTCTTGCTGCAGCGCTTTCGCACTCCGTTGGGACATCACCTCCAAGATTTGGTACTCCACCGATACGATCCTCGTCGCCCGTGGGAACAGCCACGGGACCTCAACTACCGATAACGCCAACGAACTATGGCTCCTTCGAGACGCGGTCGAGAAACCTACAGGGCGGCGCTTCTGGCGCCTATGAAGATCCCGAGATTATCAAGCGGCATTTGGTCCAACCTACCGATACTGCGGATTCTGCATCCAACAATGGTGATAATTCCAAAGGTAAACAGGTTGGCGATTCCATAGCGCCGGGACGCGATGACGATGAATTCTCCAGCCTTAAGTTACAAGGAGGGGATATAACGCGTCAGATCTATAGATGGTCTGAGGACGCAGAAGTCCGACAGCGGCAACAGCGTAGCAAGAGTTTTAGCCATCCTAGAGAAGAGCCGGAGAGCGAAGTTCTTGATATCAATACCATCAAGATTCCTGGCGGGTTTAGGCGAAACTATCTGAGAAGAGCAGCGCGCAGCCCGCCTCTGGACTCTGATGGACTAGAAGCCGGTGAGGGGACCTCGAGGGGTAGGCGAGAGCCTCAGTTACTCACTAGCAGTTTCTTGGAGTTCTTGTCTATCTACGGTCACTTTGCAGGCGAAGAGCTAGAAGAGGACGATGAGGTCTTGGGACCTGGCGAATATTTCTCTTCCGGGGAGAGCGACGAATTCTATGATAGCGAGGAAGATAGAGAGCCAATGGAAGACAGTGCCCTCTTGACACCGTCCAAGCGCAAGAGGAGACGAAAGGTCCGTGGCGGTAGCGGGAATAACACCCCTTTCAACGCTGCTTTGCTTCTCTTGAAATCGTTCGTGGGCACGGGCGTTTTGTTCTTACCTCGTGCTTACTTCAACGGTGGTATGCTCTTCAGTAACCTAGTCCTACTTTTTGTCGCAGCGTTGAGCTACTACTGCTTCGTGTTACTCGTCACTACGCGATTAAAAGTCGAGGGGTCTTTTGGTGACATCGGCGGAATTCTATACGGCGATTGGATGAGAAAATTAATCTTGTTTTCAATCGTCATCAGCCAAATCGGATTCGTCGCCGCGTACATCGTGTTCACGGCCGAAAACTTACAAGCTTTCATTCTAGCCGTCTCCGATTGCAACACAAATATTAAAATTACTTGGTTGATTCTGATGCAGATGATCATCTTTTTGCCCTTCTCTCTATTCCGAGACATCGGGAAGCTTGGTTTTACAGCTCTAATAGCAGACGCTTTTATTGTTATTGGCCTTGCATACCTTTTCTACTATGATGTTCTTACCCTAAGCACTCACGGCATCGCGGATATCATCCAGTTTAATCAGAAGGACTGGACACTCTTCATTGGCACAGCTATTTTCACCTTTGAAGGAATTGGTTTGATTATCCCCATTCAGGAGTCCATGAGGTCGCCCTCAAAATTCCCTAAAGTTATGTTCTACGTCATGATCATCATTACAGTCCTCTTTATCACCATGGGTGCGGTGTCTTACGCCGCGTACGGGTCGAAAACGGAGACTGTCGTCCTTCTCAATCTACCTCAGGACAACAAACTCGTCAACGGCGTTCAGTTCTTGTACTCGCTCGCTATTCTTCTATCGACACCTCTGCAGATTTTCCCTGCCATTCGTATCACGGAAAACGCCCTCTTCACAAAAAGCGGCAAATACAACCCCTACATCAAGTGGCAGAAGAACATGTTCCGTTTCTTGGTAGTCTTCCTCTGTGCGTTCATCGCGTGGGGAGGTGCAGACGATCTGGACAAGTTTGTTGCCCTTGTCGGGAACTTTGCCTGCATCCCTCTCGTATACATCTACCCGGTAAGTATTCCTGTATTCTTAGATGCATAAGCCTATGCTGTGCTAACATTTCATCAGCCATTACTTCACTATAAGGGTGTGGCAACAACCAAGGCGCGCAAGGTTACCGATATCCTTCTTTGCATTTTCGGGTTCATAGCCATGGCATATACCACCAGTCTGACGGTGATTAGCTGGGCTAGCGGTCCTTCCGGTCCGAGCCTACCAAAATACTGCGACCCTCCTAAGGTATAATATCATAATAGGATGATGATTATGATAGTGGTAAAAAGGAAAGATAGCTGTGTATATTATTATTACCTTTATTTTTTGCATTGGCAGCGTTGAGAGATTGATGCCACAGAATTAGACGTTTTTGGCCATCGCAAGAGATTTCGTTTTTTGAGACAAAATTATATCTAATAGAATCTGCACGTTTCTTTAGCATACATGTATGTTAGGTACTTAATGTGAGTATTTCTAAGGGGATGGGATCTCTTCGTTTCGGGCACGGATACATGTAGGTTAGTTTGTTATGCTTTCTGTGCGTAGTGTTTAGATTTGAAAATAATACCTAGGTAGATGCCGACATAATATTTATACTGCTTCGCATGGAGAAGAGAAAGCTGTAAATGGGATTATGTTTGTTTTATGAACTTAAAACGACCCTTGAAACTCGGTACGTCCTTCGTACATATACCGGTATTTAGCCGATTGGGCGGCGAGACGCGCTTTGACCAGACTCGGTACTTTGGAATTACCATTCGTTCATTCATCCGCTCATTCATGATCTGAACTTAACAATCTTCATACATCTTCCTTGCCTTTGGATTTCATTTTAAATCTTCATTGCATATTAAACACCTGTTTAACAATATCAACAGTCACGATCTGCGTATCCGCTACCTCGCTGTACTTAAGCGTTTTATTAAAATCCTCCCACTAGCAGGCATTTCTCCATCCTTTGTTAGACAGACGCCAAGATGAACGCGCCAGATCGGTAAGTTAATATGTTATGTTCAAGCTTTTGTCGATATTTTAGATTCATGATCAGAAGTTGACTTGTGCCTAGTTTCGAGCTGTTCCTCCTTAACGAGGCAGCTGACGAGAAGAAGATCACCGAGAAGCCTTTCGCTGGTAAGTGCTCGTTTAACTAGCCTACCCGTCTACCTTACCTTTCCAGTATTCAAACGCTGACAAATGTTAGGCATGTCAAACACCTCGGACTTCATCATTCTCAAGGAAGACCATACCATCGGCAACCTGCTTGCCGAGCACTTCAAGCAGCACCCTCACGTGATGATGGCCGGCTACAAAGGTAAATAGGCTTCTTAAAGTTTGTACCGAATTTTCCCATATCTGATTATAATATAGTTGCCCATCCCAACGTCCCCGAGGTGTTGATCCGTCTCCAGACCGACGGCACCGTCACTCCGCGTGAGGTGTTCGTCGAAGTGTGCAAGCAGCTTGTCGCTTCTCTTGGACAGCTTGCGCAGAACTTCACCCGAGAGTACGAGCTCCGCCGCATGGCCACCGCCGGCGAGCAGGATAATTCCGGCGGAGGTGCCAACGGTAGACATTAAGCAATTTTTTATCACTGCAGCATACATTATCATTATGCATTATGGACGGGGTTTGGTCGGATACCAGGCGTTACGGACTTGTTTCCTTTTTTTCTTAGCTCATGTAAAAGGCACTTTACAGTGTTCCTAGGGACAGGCAGGTAGTATCATCCTTCGGATGGACTAGGGACCTCTATCTAGGTCGTCTTAATCGTCATAATTCCATTGATTTTCCTAACTCCTTGCTTACCCATCGTAGTATGCAAGATAGTGAATGTACTTGCCCCTCGGTATCCATGATGGCCACCTGAAGTCGTCGAATGATATCCCATCTAGCCTTAATTTCTTAATCAAGTCGCCACAGGCCCTTCTCCTCCGGGGATTAACTATCATAAACAGTAAGCCTACGAGTCTACTAGTCTAGTAAGCCATGCTTTAATACATACCATGCATATGTTATTGCCGTTCAGTAAGATCTTAGAGAGCTTCGTGTGGTTCCCCGAGTAGTCACTGCCTCCCGTTAGGATTTGCCCCAATCGTGTGATATCACGATATGTTTCTAGGAATGCACATACAACTCAGTCACATCCTCCAGGACCATGTCTTGTAATACAGTTAGCTTATGTCGACAAATATGTAGAGCCGTGTAATATGTATATCTACTTACTGACGTAGTCATCGAACCCAAGCAAGGTACCGCTGAATTCTGGAGTTGCACCTCGTCAGTCATGATCAGACATCCTTTAGGGTGCACGAATACGGATGATCATACCCTTGTCACCTTTCATGATAACCCATATTCTGGAGCCGACGCACTTGTCGATGAGTTCTGTGGCATGGCGTTAGCGCTAGTTATTTATTTTGCATTGACTATTTTGAATATTGGTATACCTAGAGGGAGAAGCTGTGATGCCATTTTTAGTAGATTGGCGAAACGTCAAAACTAGAAGTCTTGTTGGGAAAGGTGGGAGACGTCTTCTCGGCCTGGGGGGTTGATGGCGTTTGCAGGTGAATTAGGTAAGTACCTAGAACTTAAGCTAAGCTAAGGTATTCTAACTTTTTATGGGGTCTGGTATTATGGACAAGACAAGACAAGAAAATTGGTCACCTGATAACGGGTGGTAGTCGTGTAAGGGTGTAAGGGAATGACTAAGCCATTCCGGCCCAGGCCGCCAGGCAGCCGTAGCCTTATTACACTATACATACCCCTGCAGGTTTTTACATTTTCCAACGAGCCAAGTGGACCCCTAAAATCGACAGACCGACATTGACTTCGTTAGACTCACCCATTTAACCATTTACTAACTCGATTTATTACGAAACACTTATTAAAAGGAACATATTCCCACTTTCAATCGCTCATTTGCAACAACGTCTGCCTTATACCTAGGTAGGCATTCACGCGATTCGCACTAAGCTACATGGTCGGTCATCATGGAGCAGTACTATTATACATGGGAGCCAGATAATCGTTAATCATGTCTTTTGGGAGTTCAGAGTTGGTCGGAAATACTCTGAGGTCCTCCCAAACTCCGCGCATGTCTCCCTTCTTGCGGTTCGTCTACCTTTTTAAATACTTCTTCTATACCTGAAAATAATAGAAATAATCCAATTAACATATATCTTACTTACCCTTACCCTTTTTAGCAGTTGGGCAGGACGGACTTTGAGAATGACCACCAGTCCGCCAAAATCTCAGATATGGCACCCTGCACGGGGCATATCCTTCTCATCAGTTACCCGGTCACCAAATTTGGCGCCTCAAGACCCGGAGTCTTTAAACCAAGCCGCTGCATTTAGTCACCAAACACAGTCGTCGGTATTATCTGTCTCCAATGGCCTGAGAGCTTCTCCGTACTCCAAGGTCGAGAAGATATCGCTGTCAGGTGTAAAACGTAAACCCCGTAAGTCCAAAAAGGCTACGCCCGAAGTAACCGAAACTGCAGATGGGAGTTCCCATGTTGCTCTCGCAGACGGGCAAACGGAATCGTCGAAGGTGAAAACCTCCGATCACCCTCCCGTTGCTACCTTGCCTTTCAAAATGGTGGAAGAGTTGTTCTACGCTGCTAAAAAGGCACCTGCTGGCACGCCTGCTTCCTATTGGTCATATACCCAATATCGGGGAATGACAGAAGATGGCAAAGAGGAAAGGGTAAAAGTTCATTACTGCCGAAGCACCTATACGATGGAAAAGATCTGCAAAGACTATTTTTCAAATGAAAAGATACTCGGATTCGACCTTGAATGGGCCGCCGACTCTTACAGGTATGAAAGTGTTAAGAAGAATGTCTCTTTAATTCAGTTGGCAAGTCCCAGCCGCATTGGACTCTTCCACGTCGCTCTCTTCCCCGATAAAGATGATCTGGTCGGGCCCACGTTTAGGGCTATTATGGAAGACCCTTTCATTACAAAGGTCGGCGTTAATATCAAGTCGGATGCGACAAGGATACGGAATTTCCTAAGCATAGACTCGAAAGGGCTCATCGAGTTGAGCCATCTTTATAAGCTCGTTACCTACTCTGCCGAAGGGCGGCAGCGCGAAATCAACAAGAAACTTGTACCTCTGGCAACTCAGGTAGAGCATTACCTGCATTTACCTCTTTACAAGGGCACGGATGTCCGGACGAGTGACTGGACGAAGCCTTTGAGCTTTGATCAAGTTACTTGTAAGCTATACTATTCCACTTTTCCACTTCCAAGTTAGTTAACGTTATTCAGATTCCGGCTCGGACGCCTATGCCGGATTGCAGCTTTTTGCTACGCTTGACCATCACAGACAACAGCTTCGCCCTTGCCCGCCGCCACCTTACCACGCAGAGCTGAATCTCCCCATCCGCCTAGCAGATGGGTTGGAACTTTCTACGGATGATGAGCCTGCAGTTGAAGCAGTGGTAGAGACAGTTGTTGAAGCTACCGTCATAGCGACTGAGACAACAACAACTGCAACTGCGACATCGACTGCAAAATCTAAAACCACGTCTAAGCGGTCGTCGGCTCCCAAAGACTCCCGGGTCGAGATTGCCGAGGACCGCGTTGCTCGCTACCGCGCCACGCATCCTGAGTCGGTCTCGTCGATGCCGCAGCTTCGCGCGTACTTCATGTGGCACAATCAGGGCCTCGACCTGGCGACCATAGCACGGCTGCTACGGGACCCGCCCCTGAAAGTGAACACCATCACTGTCTATATACTCGCTGCGATCGAACACGAGAAGCTGCCCGTGGACAAGGAGCGGCTAGAGGAGGAGATTGCGATCGGGTTTTTGGAGAGCACGCTGAAGGCGCGGTGGCCGTACGTCGCTTCGGTGTTGGGTTATACCTAACCTAACCTAGGTACCTATCTACCTATGATAGTTAAGTCGGCGGATTATGTATTGGTGTGTACCTAATGCATGCATGTATGAAGAATAACGAAGTGGCTTTTTATGTTATGTTGAATGCTTTTGAGATGAGTTTTGAGAATGGTACTAGGTAGTTACGAGAGGGGACGGACATGGAGGAAGGACAAGAAGTTCGAGAAATAATAAAGGACTTTGTATATGTACCTACTATTCATCCACATGGAAGCGTAATGGCTGCTTTTTGTGTGTGTATAGGTTAGCTAGGTAGTTGACCGGAGTTGGTTGGTACAAGTTTATAAGGTATGTAACTACACGACGCTCTACCGCGCTTTTAGGTGTGCCTCTTAATGAAGCCCTGCGATGTGACTCCTAGGAACCTTAGGTTAGGTACCTACCTGGGTACCTAATGTATGCCCCTTGATGCACCGATTTGTTTCTGCTCTGATATGGTAGTTTAGCTTGTAGCTACCTACCTAGGTAGGTATATGATCAATCTACATAAGCTATCGTATTTATAATGTCAATAGATTTTCTATAATGGTGCTGAGAGCTTAGAAAGCCGTACGTGTAGCCGTACGTGCAACTAGTTCTTATTCATAAGAGACAAGATATCACCCTTAGATAGATACTCATGGTTTATACCAGCATATATACATACTGCTTGCATTAGATCTAAGCGGGGGTATATATATATAAGGTTGGGTACATACCTACATACCTTCTACCTTCCCTACCTAACCTAGGAGGTAGGTTAGATATGTATCCTAGACAGGTACTCATCCACGTTTTTTCACTCGAGGTATAACTGCCGTTCTCTTCTCTTCTCTAAACACCAGATATAATACCATCCTCACTCCGTCTCTTCTCTGAATACAGCCTTTCTTCCTCACTCCACTCCTCCCTAATCAGCAGCAAGTAAATCCCTCCCCCTATTAACCTGCACCATCCTATCCTCGCCTCCGCTCACAATCCCCCAGCTCCGATCCCACGCGACCCCAAACACCTTTGCGCCTCTACCCGGGACATCACTTGCACTTGCGCCACCACCACTTCTCCCCTTCAGACTCTCCCGCTCAATTACGTAGACGGACTCGCTCACCGCGCCGCCCCCCTCGGCCCGCGTCCCCGCCCGCGCGCCCCGCAGGTCCCAGACGCGGCACGTGCCGTCGTGCGACGCCGACACGAGGCTGTACTCGTTGTCGGGCGACGGCGCGAGCCCCGCCACCATGTTGCGGTGCCCGCGCAGCGTCATCACTGAGGTCGCGGCCGCGCCGGCCCGCGGGTCCGCCAGCGTGATGTGCCGCGCCGACGTGCCGGCCGCGAGGAGCGCGGAGCTCCCCGCGCGGCGGATGGCGCAGAGGGAGAGCAGGGGGTGGGAGGTCGTGATCACGTTCTCGACCTTGCTCGTCGTCAGGTCGATGGTGCGGATGGTGTGGTCCTGAGACGCCGTGTACGCGACCGTCGCGTCCGCCGGGTCGAAGATGGCCGCGGACGCGCCCGACGTGTGCGGCTGCGTGAGGGATAGGGCCCCGCGCTGGGGCGCTTGCGAGGACGAGGCGATCTTGCGCTTCTTGGAGGCGGAGGCGATACTGGCGCCGGGGAGGAGGGCCGCGGGGGCCGCGGGGGCGCTGGACTTGGACGTCGTCCACAGACCGATGGTGCCGTCGCTCGCAGCGCTCAGGACGCGACCGGACGGGCCGTGGACGTCGATGGCCTCGATGGCCGCCTTGTGGCCGTACAGCTCGAGGGACGGTTTCAGGGTGCCGGAGAGGAAGTCGTCGGCCTCGGTGTACTTCCATATGCGCACCGTGCGGTCGAGCCCGGCGGACGCGATCTGCGAGGCGGAGAGGAACTTGGCGGACTTGACGCTGGCGGTGTGGCCGCCGAGGCTGCCGGAGGGGGACGTGGCGATCACGTTTCCGGACTTGCTCCATATCCTTAGGAGGCCGTCGTACGAGGCGGAGAGGATGCGGTCCTGGCCGGTGACGAACTTGTTGTCGGGGCTCCAGAGACCGGCGCGCGAGGTGTCGGACAGGACGTCGACGTCGCTGACCCAGTCGTCATGCTCGAAGCTGGCTTGGAAGACGGGGGGTATCAGGCTGCGGACGTACTGCAGGGTGACTGTGGATTCGGCAGAGAGCCCGTTGGCCTTGAGGTAGTCCTCGAGCGAGGTGCGCAGGAAGCTGCCGTTGATGAGAAAGTCGAAGGGGATGGGCGAGGAGGTGTTGAGCATGGACTCGGAGTTGAGGACGCGGGAGAGGCCATATCGTTTTATATCTGTGCGAGGGATACCAGTTAGAATCGGGATCTAAGTGTTGGGAAATTAAAAACTGACCTGCTGGGACAAGCAATTGGGTTCGGCCTTCTGGTAATTGTAAATCTGGCGACGTCGTTGTGAAATTGACCCGGACTTGCTGGACCTCGGCCAGCGCTGGCCGGCCTATAGACGAGTCCATAGCGATTAATTAAGAGATGTTTCTCAATACGGCAGGCAATTGGTAATTATGAGGAATAAAAGTGCAAAGTATATTTACTTGATTTATTAAAATATCGCCAATATTTCAATGTTGAATAAATCTTGGGCCTATAAGGTCCTAGGTATAGGTATGTAAGTCGGTATTAGCGTTTGGAACTTTTTTTTTTTCCTTATCGATAGAATTGGGAAAAGTTCCCATCCAGCCATTTAGACATCATGCTACATACATATCTACCTTTATCAGCCTTACCCCGCGATGCAGGGGTCCAAACCAATCAACTGTCAAATCATAACATGAGCTAAAGCCACACCTCAAGACCCTCAAACCAATCAAGCCACATATCAATTAACGCGTCTTCGTTCGGTGAACGCGTCTTTCTGTGCACTTTTTCTAGACTCACGCTTTCTCCTAATTCCAGGTCGAGGATGTTAATCATAAGGTTGTTATGATGACTTCGTTGGATGATATACCCGGAAACATGCTCCGGAAGCCTTCGTGAGTTCTTTTTCGACCTTTCATTTAAATTCGTCTCTGGCTGCGGATAGATATTAATCGTTCACAGGGGCGAGACGGGGGATGAGCTCCAAAGAGCTTCGTCTAACTATAAGCCATTACACTCTTTTAAGCTGGATAAGGATAAACCGTATCGGCAGCAGTTCGCCGATATGTACTTCCTACGGCTCACTAAGATCAAGCCTGCAGTTGAACAGTTGGCGTCCGCTGCTTGGGATGACACGCTCGTCGGTAATGAGCCGGTTCAGAAGGTTGAGAGAGTGTTGGATATCAGGCAAGGCCAGTTGTGCTGGGTCTCAGGAACCGTCTACATGGACATGCCCTTAAAGCCTAATATTCTCGAAGACGTATCCAAGGATGTATGTGTGGTCGAACTGCTAAACTGCCATAACTTGACTCATATAATCTAACTTTCACCAGCGATGGCTCTCGGCACCCATCTCGAATAAGAAGTACTACTCAGATGACGGCTCCGACGCCGTCACCCTAGAAGACGAGTCCGGTAGGATACGACTCGTGGGCGACATACTAAACTCCGTGCTCCTCGTGACCGGGTGCATTATCGCCGTCATAGGCACCGAGAACGTGAACGGCGAGCTCGAAGTCATCGACCTGAAATTCCCCGACCTAGCCCCGCAACCGGAACGCTGGGCGCTATCCGACCCTCCCGCAGATACTAAGGTCTCTTCCTCCTCGAAGAAGAGAAAAGTCAAAGACGAAGATACCGAAATGGCAGACGATGACGACGACGATAACAGGCCCAAGGCGAGAAGCGGGCGCAAAATCGCCCTCGTCTCCGGCCTAGGCTTCTCCGGCACCGACGCCTCGCACGCCATCGAGCTCAACCTGCTCCTCGAGTTCCTGCTGGGCGAGACCCTCGACCCCTCGGCGCAGCGGGAGCTCTCGCAGATAAGCCGGCTGATCATCGCGGGTAACTCGATCTCGCTCGAGGACCGACGACCTGGTGCCGACGAAGACTCGGCGACGACGGAAAAAAAGGCCCACAAGAAATACGGCTACGACAGCAGCGCGTACAACCCCCTACCCTCCCAGCTCCTCGACGAGTTCCTCGCCGCCTTGCTCCCCTCCCTCCCCGTCACCCTGCTCCCCGGCGCCCAGGACCCGGCCAACGCCAGCTTCCCCCAGCAGCCCGTCCACCCGGCCATGTTCCCGCACTCGCGGCCGTATACGGCGCCCCCGACCACCAACACCAACACCGCCGCCGAACCCGGGTGGTTCGACGCCGTGACGAATCCCTGGGAGGGCGAGGTCGACGGCTGGCGCGTGCTGGGGACCGCCGGCCAGAACGTCGACGATATCTGCAAGTACGTCGATAGCAACGATCGGCTCGGCATGATGGAGGCCATGTGCCGGTGGCGGTGCTGCGCGCCGACGGCGCCTGACACGCTATGTATGTCTTCCTTCCCTCCCTCTCCCTCCTTCTCCCTTCCCCTATTCTTTCTTTTCTCTATCCCTTGATCCATACTAACCATCCAACCCCTCCTCCCCCATCTAGGGAGCTACCCATTCCAAGAAGACGACCCGTTCGTCATGCAGACGTGTCCGCATCTCTTTTTCGCCGGCTGCCAGCCCGGGTTCGGCACCAAGGTCATCACGGGCCCGGAAGGCCAGACCGTCCGGCTCGTCGCCGTGCCGTCCTTTGCGGATACCCAGGAGATAGTACTGGTAGACACCGAGACGTTAGAAGTCACCAAGGTGAAGATTGCCGCGGTCTAGGAGACTACGGCTACGACTGCGTCTCGGGCTCGAGTTAAAAGGTAACTAGGTACGCGAAGATATATTAATAGGATGGGAGGAAACCCCAAAATAAAAAGTTCCTACCGATGATATCCATTTATAAAGTACCTAGCAAAAGTTGAAGAGCAAGAAACCCAAGGATGTTTATGGGTAGGGACTAGCAGCCATCTATCATATAATTACATGGCGTTGGTTGGGGGAGCTTAAAGCATTATTAGAAAAATCAATTAAACTCGGTGCAAGCGAGGCAAGACCTTTCGTCTATTGAAAGGGGATAGTTATTAGGCCTAAACCATATCATAAAATCAGCGTCTGAAACCAATGTACGCAAGTAATACAACGCGAAAGCTATGCAAGACATGTGCTAATGAGCATAAAGAGAACCAGTTCGGATGTACCGTCTTGGACTCTCCTAAAACCTCCTAGTCCATCCAAATTCTGATGCTCATAATGAGGTGTCTTCCTTGATCTCAATGATCAGAACTTTCTGAATCGCTGGAAGTTTCCGAATCATCGCTTCCGGCGATCGCTCTATCCAGTTGCTCCTCGGTAAACATAGGCCTAATACTTGGACTTTCCGATCCTTGAGACGAAGTCGGTGTAGGGGGACCACTAAAGTCATCCGGTAGTGCGCCGTCCATATACATGCTCTCCACGTATCGTTTCTTCCTTTCCACCCCTATGAACTTCCAGCCAATAGACTGCACATAATCCCTTTCCTGTGGGCAGCTTGCAGCGAGTATTTCAACCGTAAATTTCAGCATGTAGATCTGCGTCTTCGCTCTCTCGACTTGTTCCTGGAAATAGGCCTCGGCACCCTTGGCATCCTTGACTAGGATTCTGTCCTTGTCTTCTTGAGCTTGTTTCTGCATGTAATAACATCGAAGGTCGATTAGTTTCTCATACAAGTTCGCGTCGCTATCCGTGGCTAGAATGCGTATGTATTGGACATTGAGAAGCATAAGTAGCTCTCTAGTATTGGAGAACCTGTCGAATAATTTGGTGGCAGGCACTTCATTTGGATTTTCAATCCATCCCTTGATCCCCATCTTCTTCACCTTCACTGCCGGTAATTTAAGCGTCAATGTATGGATGCGTGCCGGCTCAGCTAGGCCATTTCCAGGAACAAATTTCTGGATAGCATTGCGAAAGTTGTCGACAACGAAGCTATTCAAGCGGTTATACGGGGCATTGATCTTGAGATAGCGCATCAGGTGCCCGTATTTATCAATGGGTATTCTGTCCTTGGTATATACGCGGCCTTTTAACTCGTCCATTATCCCCAGATAATCAGGAGGGTCGCGAATATCATAGAGGAAAGTGTTCTCGCCATATAATATGCGGAGTCCTTCCAACCACAATAAACGGCATGTGTAGAGGATTGAGAGGTCCAATTTCGGTCCTATACGTTCGAATACACGGGTCCAGCCCCTGAAGACCGGAATATCGTTGGGGGAAAGCAACATGTATCTCAGGATTTCGTCACGAACCTCAGCAGGCAGCCGGCCAAGAATGCCCAGGGCCTCGATAGGGGTTAAACTCAAACGCCTAAATTCGAGCCCGAGGATATCGGGTGAAGGTGGCTGCTCGAGACTTTTGTCCTGCTCCCAAGGCAAGAGGGGCGAGACCTCTTTTTGGCTCCCATCCTTGAGGATCTTGGGGCATTTGCTCCTCTCGCTGTCGTCATAGGCTGTGTTGGCCGAACGTTTTCGGCTTGTCTTTTGAGTCATGGGTAATACCAAGTGATCATCATCAGGGTGAGGTGGTAGTTCAACCATCTCGGCTTCACGACGGAGCCGACTCGCCTCTCTTTCACGAGCAGCTTCCTTCTTGGTAGCCCTCTCTGCGGCTCGTTGATCTCGCCTTTCTGCGGCGGTAGGTCTACTATGCTTGGGCGGACTACCGTCAGAAGGAGCAGTGCTCCTATCCGCCGTACGCTTCCCTTTTCTGGGAGGCATGCTGCTAGTAAGTACAGGTTAGTTCAGGGCCCAAAAGAGTCATAAAAAGGTACTATCTTACATATAATAATGCGGATGGCGCCCAGTGTTTGAGGCTTTCAAGCAACGAATTTCCGAGAACAATGGAAGTGGTAATTTATTTGGATGAATCTAGAGAAAGAGCACAAGAATGGTTAGTTAAACTCGAAATGTTATAGAAGATACAGAAGAAACGGAAAGGAGGCGTTGCGTACGCTTGAAGAGTAATGTTGGAGGTGTGATCGTTAAGTTTTCTAAGTGATGTCGCGCATAAAATGAATGGCACGTTTCATTCAAGAGAGATTTGGGTGGACTGGTGGTAACCGTTTAAATAAGTTAACAAAGGTGCCGTGGTATTTAGAGGTCAGAGACGAGGCGTCGGCACCAGTAAGAGTAGGAAAAGCTAGGGAAAGAATGAACAAGCCGTGGTCGCTTGACGATTGCTAAGTACCTGTTTTAAGTAGTCGTCAAGTTGGAGGGATGGTACCTAGGATATGGATGATGAAGGAAGAAGAAGGAGGAGGAGGAGGTAAAGTTTGCAAATGTGTTGGAGGACGTATAAGACAACAGATATGGCACCGTCACTTTGATGGAAGGCACAATTACTTACCTCTTATCTGTTGGTTGGTTGCAGTTGCTAGATTACCGTCCGCAGGCAGGCAACTGCCAATATGAAATTCAATGATAACGAAATCCAGCATGGAAATGGCGAGGCCGGAGTCTTATTTCCTTAAGCACGTGGTCTACATATACCATAAGGTTCCAACTAAGATATGGCGGGTGTTTCCCTGATTTTCGGTTTCAAAGCTGCCCCCGGTTCTAGACGTCCCGTCTACAAATCTGAAAATAACATATGTCACATTCCCTCCAGTTTTTTGAGCGCAAGGTGTCTGTCTATGTTGAGTGTTGAGAGCCCCTGTAGGAGGTAGTTAAGTTAATATCTACCTAAAACTGTCATACACGGTCAATACTTGTGAGCCGCCAACACTGACGGAACATGCTTCAGACGCCTGTAAAACGTATATATAATTCTGGGAAATATAATATATAGGTACATAGGTATGTACCCGACCCCTTCTATATCGGCTTCTATTCTTCTTGTCTATCTTACGTCGTACTGGCCTGACAGAACACTGGTTTGCCTTTCTTTTGCCGAGTCCTTATATAAGGCTTATTACCACATCTGAATTTAGATACAGATCACCCCTCTCCTCCTGCTCAAATATATGGGAAAAGTATCACTCTACTCCCTACTTAATTCCTTCATTTGAGAGGGACCTGATAATGGCTTTATTTTTTGGGGGGGGGGGGTGGGGGGGTAGACTTCAGAAGTTGTTGTAACTTAATGGTGATAGTACCCAAGTACCTAACGGCCAACCTTGCATTGATTGGTTGTATTTTAGTACCTGGCATTAATATGTGCACCCCGCAACTGCCAGAGCTAACAGGCACCGTTAAAGATCTGCTGATAAGATAGCTGTACCTGTAACTTTTTTTTTTCTTGGAACATTTGTTGCATGCAACTTGTTCACTAGTTCGTTCCTTAAAAGAGTTCCAATGCTTGGTGCTTATTTCCGCCCGCCATTATTTATTCTGCGCTTCTCTCGCCGATTGTTTCCTTCCCCTGGAATAATTCCTATTACTTCAACACGAAACTTACAGTGCTGGCGCATTACTAGCATCATGGCCAAGGAACGAGCTGCGAAGCTACACACCAAGGCTGAGAAGCCTGAGAAGAAGCATGAGAAGAAGGTCTCCAAGGACAAGGTGAAGAAGCATAAGAAGGAGGAAAAGAAGACGAAGCCTGTGAATGTACCTGAGGAGTTGGAGGATGAGCCTAGCAAGCTCGAAGATACCTCGGCAGTAGTTGAGGAATCCGTGAGTTTTTCTTGATTCCCCTCGGCACTTTCATGACATGCAATACTTACAATCGGATCCCCCCTAGTCGGCCGAGCCCGAGCCAGAGGTCAAGCCTAAGAAGGAGAAGAAGGCGAAGAAGCAATCGGAAGAGAAAGTCGAGAAGTCCAAAAAGAAGGAGGAGGAGAAATCCAAGAAAGCCGCCGCCAAAGAAGAAGCTGTAGCCGAGAGCGACGAGGAAGACAACGGCGCGCCTCTCTTCGCGATCGACACCGAGCCCACGCCCATCGACCCGAAGTCGATCCCCGAAAAAGCCGGCGCCGCCGACGACGACAACATGCACAGGGAGAAGGGGGGAAAGCAGAAGGAGGAGGAGAAAGGGCTGAACCGGCAGGCGCGGCGGCGGCTCCGCCTGATCGAGCGGCAGCGGGACTTTATCCATAAGCAGTTGGGGGTCGCGGTGGGCTCGAGCGAGCGCGCCGACGAGGTCCAGGCCCTGCTGGACCGGTGGGTGAAGGACTACGACGCCAAGGCACGCGCCCGCGCCGCGAAGAAGGAGCTCCGCACGGCCAAGAATGTCGCGCGCATCCGCAAAAAGAGGGACATGATGCTGAAGGCCGCGGCGGACAGGAGGAAACCTCCTAGGGGCTTGTCCGCGCAACATGCGGCGTGAGAAAAGGAAAAGGGGAGTTTTTTTCTTTAACTTAGGTACCTACCTACACTACGCCTAAGGTTGTGGCTGCTTTTTTCCTCCGTCGGAATGGGTTGAAGGCGTTGAAGGCGTGGAAAATTTTTTGAAATCACCGAGAACGTATGAACTGTGATGTTATGAAGGTTCATTCATGACTCCTCTCTCGATGTTGTCGTATGGTTACGAGCAGCAGATTCTAAAGGACTTTGATGATTTCATGTTGTAGTTTTTAACAGAGATGCGTCGTGTTATTCATCCATACCTATTTTATGTGCCTTAGGAGGTACATGCTTCCAACCCCCCATGAAACCTGCAATAACTCCAGTCGTCCATGCCCCCCCATATATGTTTGTTTGTATATGCAACTCTCGTAACGTACAGTCAGGTAACTAGCCCGCCAACTCTCTTCCCAACCCATGGGAGGGTGGAGATTCCCTTTGCGCATACCCGGAATCAAGGCTTCTTAGACTGTCCCTCCTTATCCTCCTTCCCCTCCTCGTCCTTCTTCTTCACCCCCTGACTCCACACCTCCGATACCTGATCGACAATCAGACCCCAATACCCGCCGCCGCCCTCGCTCAGCGCCTCCTTCTCCCGCTGATCCCTCTTCGCCTTCCAGTCCTCGTCGCTATCGCCCATCCACACCTTTTCCAACAGCCCCCTCTCCTTCCTCCTGTTCCGCTCCTCCTCCTCCTCCGCCATCCTCCTCCTCCTCTGGTCCTCCATCAGCAGACCCTCCTGAGCGGCGGCAGCGGTGGCGGCGGCCCGTCGCGCGCGCTCGGCCCGCAGGCGAGCCTGGGTTTCCTTGGCCTTCTCCGGCAGCTCGGCGCCGGACAGGGAGCCGATGCGGCGCGCCATGCGCTGCATCGACGAGGTGCCGCTGTAGTCGGCGACGAGCTGGTTCGTGCCCCACAGCGCGACGCCGCCGAGGATCGCGGCGCGCAGGTCCAGCCGGCGCGGGGGCAGGAACAGCGCGAGCAGGGCGATGGGGGTCACGCCGAGCGCGACGTTGTGGACGAAAGGGTTCGCCCCGGGGGGGGATTGTGGCTGTGGCTGTGGCGGTGCCGACGCCGTCGGTTGTGGTGGTTGTGATGGCGAGGACGCCATTGCGTATTTGTTACGTTGTGTATATGAGTGTTTGTATGTATGTGTGAGTGTATGTCTTGGTCTGGAATCGCGGCGATTGGCTATGTATCGGAGACTAAACGGGGCGGGGGGGAAGCGGCGGGACGGGACACAGACGAAAAGAAGTTCTGCGATTTGTGAAATCGCGATTCAAGAGGGGCAAAACAAATTGTCAATATAGCTTAGCTAGAGCAGCCAATTGAAACTTAGATGCCTTACCGCTTCTCGAGAATTGACTAGATATGTAGGTCTCTGTCCTCGGTGAGTCTTGCTGTTTAAACGGGAGCTCTGGAATGCGAATGGGCGACGATGTCGGTGGTTAGGTAGAATCAAACTTTCAACTGGAAGCTTGACTTGTTTTTTTTCTGCAGGGGTTGCTGTTATCTGGCCTTCCTTAGGGCCTTATCTTGGTACAATACAATACAATAACAGGTTAACTACCTCCTAGGTACATAATCTAATCAAAGCTAGTCTAGAGTGGACCTCGATATACTAGGTATGGCTATGTACAGCTACTGTACAGCTACTGGAACATGCCGAGCGTTGTTCTACAGCATGTCATTGGCTCTTAAGCTTCTATTGTATTGTACTATGTATGTTTTATGTATTTGCTACTTCTACTGGACTCATCAAAAGTAAAAGATCGAGTCACATCGTCGTCGGATACGATGAAACACAGCATTCATCGACCCAGACAGGAGCATCTGACGAAACAAAACTCACCTTGAAATTATCAATAAGTAAAGAGCCGCATACTCATCGTCATATGTACTTATCTTCCTGATTGAGTCCGACTTACCTGCATCTGTGTTGTGCCATGGTAATTGACTCCTCATGACTTTGTTTCGCACGAGGACTCTCAACCCCCCCCCCCCCCCCTCCCCTGGTCTAGACATCTCGATTCGATTCCTTCGACTCACACCAGTTGAATGAATCATATTCGCATCATAATCAATAATACCATTCATTTGTTCTCTGCACGTTCGTCTAGAGCGGCATCGTTGAAGCAAATAGTGACAATCTCGGACACAGCCACATTATCCTATAAGTCGATAGGCGAGGTTTGGTTGAGTACCTAGGTAGGTACCTAAGGTAGCTAATAGTATTGTTGCTGGAATGTTGCTAAAGGTAGCCAAGAACCACTGTAAGGCAGATTTCCGAAAACCAATAAGCAATAGCTATGACAATAAATGTATATACTTTAAGTACCTAGGAAAAAGCAGGTATGGACCTGTCATGTTATTTTTTTATTTTTATTTTGTTCATCGTGGTACCTGAAGGTTAGATCTGAATTTCAGACCAAGGGCCGCATTGTGGGTCCCGCTTCATGGGGACTTTGTCGGGCATGTCCGGGGTTGCTGCGCCTTGCTAGCGGTGCTTGTTATCTGTCCATCTACCGACTCTTCGGTGGCCCACTGGCCGTTGACTTCCGCAGGAAAGTGCGCAAAAAGTCGGTCACTACTGTTACGCCAAGAGCGGGAAAAAAGCGGAGACATGTTATCGTCTAGGATCGTGTGGCTGCACAGAAGCTTGGAAATATTGAAGCTTTCACTTACATAGTACATACATAGTAACCTAGTAAAGAGGCTGAGTCGAGAGTTCATGCGCTCTATCACTCGCTCTATTATCTCGGCCTTAGATTTATGCCCTTATGTTAGGTACGCATTAAGCAATCGGAGTAACATGATGCATCGAGACGACATCACTTTACGTTTTTGGTTTTGGAACTGTCGTCATTTCATTAGTATAGATACCTAACGCATGCATCGTTGCTAATGTAGATACTGCGGCCTCGTTTGCCCAGGTACTATTCGGAATTTGCCTAACATCAAGTCTCCATTCTAAGACTCTAAGTACCTACTGACCGCGATTAACGGTACTTAATTGCGCCGATATGCATACTTTGCATACCTGATGTATTGCCGTTTTTTAGCCGGTGTTGTGAAATCTTAGTTTGGTGGCTTCAGCGCTTCGCTATGATCTAGAGCCATCGCATGTTGAGGTTGCAATACCAGCAGAGCGGAAGCAGGCCGATTGCATCTTATGTAGTACCACCTTGATAGCCTATCTGAGTCAGATTGAAAGGCCCCTGATTATGACCCCGGACATTATTTTCCTAAGACATAACATGTAATTGGAACGGCTTCGGAAGACTATACATGCGGGGTGTTGTATCACCATTCAAAAGGGCCGAAGCCATCATGAGTTTCTTTCGTCGTTGGGTATCATTAATGCGTAAGTAAACAACAGCCGTGGTGAAGCTATTATCTCACCACGGAACGTTCCTAGAGCGCAAAAGTTAGTGGTGTTAGCACTCGTTTTAACATGTAGATCTCGGGAGACACGAATAAAGTTTATGCCAATGGAGCGTAACGACTGGTAAGAACGCGACTTTGCCGATTGTGAGTCAGGCATCTTGGTGAATATTAGAGGGATGCGGTAGTTCGAAGAAGCTATATGAATATATGAATAATTATATGGTGGTGTGGAAGCCTAAAAGGGTGAGATTTTTGCCATTCGCGCTTAGCTTCGCGTCTGTGAAAGTATCACAAGTCCAACCATATTACTCACGTTACGTTAATGTAAAACATAATAGATATATCACCATTGGTGTGAGCCTTGGTTTGAAGTTAGGTACCTTAGCGGGGGGTGGAAAGCCTTTGGTATTACACCGAGAATTCTGTGAGTAGCTTCTTGTACACATGGCATAGCATATCACGATTCTATATATCAAAACCCCATGGTAATAGGAGAAGCTGGCAAGTCCTGCTGCATTATGGTCTACGACTCGTTGTTTGTCGCTTCCATCTAACCAGCGAAAGGTAAGACATGGAAGAGGCTGAGCGAATTCATGTCATCGGCGGCCTTTTTTGCAAAAGGCCCCCAATTTGTATATCAAGGAATTGGCGCCGTCTTCTTTCCCGGCGCTCCTTATCCTATGCAGAACTTAAAATCGCCCTTATAACATAGAGTGGCGGCCTCCCCCTTGATGCAGGTAGACACTAATGCAATCTTCGGTAGGACCCATGGGCGAATCAAGATATCTGACGTGGTCGCACGATAGGGCTGATGGAACAAGAATGAAGACATCTTCCGTATTGGCCTAAGGATAAAGGATGGTTTCCACACCCTGCATGCGTTCCTTCTTGGCAGAGATGACTTTGGCGGAGAACGATTGGTCTCAGCGTTATAAAAGTCTGCAGTCAGATGGATCATTGGGGAGATCATAGCTTCTTCGTAGGGCTGAATTGGTGGGTACGATTATAACTCTTGGAGCACCATGCCATGCCCCAGGATATACGGCCCAGTTCCGGGCGTGGGAAGATGGTGTTAACATCTTTCAAAAGCGCAAGGTAGTATTTTAACTAGGTACCTAAGTTAGAGGGTTGTCAATTTGAGACAAAGTGAGGGAGTAAAGCAATTGCAACACTCTGCACTTTGCAGAACACACAAACGCTCGAAATGAATGCATCGCTTAACTTGGTGCGGACTTATTCATGGGAGTAAGCAATAGGATAAGATGGAGTGATGATCATGGACGGACTCTTAGCCTGGTAGTATAGATGTGTAGGTGTGGAGGTAAAGTAAGATGGAAGTAGATTCAATCCCGTATGGTCATGTGGCGTGTATTTTAGGTACCTAGAGTATACAAAAGGAAGAGGAAGGGTGTCCAAAATATCAGATACATTAGAGGTACCTACCTGGAGGTATAAGCTAGGTACCTGGTATTGTACCTTATATTAGGTAAGTCACCTCACTCCGAGCTTTAGCGCGTATAAGTCAGATTTTTGTTTCTATCCCCGGACTTTTGGTTTAGGTATAAGACGGATCTCTTTAAAGTTTTCGGAATAATTGAAATTAGACGACATACCTTTTTTTTTTTTTTTGCTTTGAGATAGGGGTCAATATACACATGCAAATTCTTCATTTCCATTTAGAGAATGCCAAGATTACATGGCGACCTACGTGTAAGTATGTAGCCAGGGGTTTAGAGGTTTAAGGTAGGTAATGGCGCACCCGATTACCATTCCCTCAGGTAGAGAGAGAGAAGGGTTGATGACGGTGGTATGATGGTAGGTCTGAGGCTCGGCAATCCTGGAGAAGAGCAAACCTCTAACCTAGAGCTAATTTTTCCCCTGCAGCAGGTCCCTGCTTTCAGCTAGCCGTCTCTCAGCCGACACGGACATCGCGACGCTTTTAGTTAGGAAAACTTATTTAAACTTATTTAAACTACATCCAATATTATCACCCTTTATGCCAACGGTATAGAAAAGCATTTGGTGTGTATTATAATACATTTATAAGGTATTATATCAAGAGTCAATACCAGGTAGGGGTAGAAATATGCTATGTATTTTTTCGTAGCAGCTAACGCTTAATGCCAAAGCACCTAGTTTAGGTTAGGTTAGGTAGGTACTTAAGGTAACCGGGCAGCTAACAGCCTTACGGACAAGGACATGGAATCGGGCATATCGGTCGAAAAGATCTTGGGTATGGCGTTTGTAAGGGAGGACGGGGTTCACATGTGTCTTAATATGACAAATCGTCGATATGCCTTGCCCTTACCGAACATCCTCACCGATAAACTCCAATATGTGTAACGTCCACATGTAGATATAGGTATGCGGTAGGTAAGGTACTGCATGGATAGATGTAAGTGGGCTAAGTGGGCTCTACCTGTTATGTATGTCTGAAGTACCCAAAACTTCTAAAGCAAAATACGGTCCGCATTATGCATCGATACTCGCACAGCATCTCTTATAGCTCTTATAGCGTCTTAGCCGGGTATTATCATTGGTACATTTTTCATATTTTTCATACGTTTGTCTACCTAGGTACCTACCTACCTAGCCTAAGGTAAGTACAACACGTACGTGCTTACTGCATGCAAGGCAGGTACTAGCCTGAAGGCATGCCCACGCTACCCTTAGGTAGGTACAGTTAGGTGATAGAAATGATGTATATACAGAAGCTGTGCCGCAATCTAAGCCCCCAAAAAATTCCAATCCAGATCACCCTAACTTTTTTGATGCGGACTTGCTTGCCGTTCTACCAGGTACTTTCATTAAGAGAAAACTCCGGTCAACTCCCCCCTTGTCTCTAGAAATACCCGTCTGTCGGCACCTATGTATGTATGATTCTTCAATCTCAAAATCCCTATCCCGTCCGTTCAACTCCACCAAGTGTTTCCAAGAACGTGCAGAGAGATCCTTGGCCGTTCACCTCAAAGGGGATAACCACGAATAACCACCCGCTCTCCTTTATTATTCCTCCTCTTCTTCTTCTATTTTGTTTACCTACCTCTCTTGGTCACACGAGTATATTCAATTTTATTTATAATCATTTTCCAAGAAAGTGAGCCTACCAAGAGTCTGCTTTACACAACTCAAAACCGTACATCCCGTATATATATATATATATATATATCATTTATTAGTTTCAAATTATTCGCCACATTTAGTGTCATTCCTGTCGGTATACTCACTCAAACAGTCGATGCTTCTTGATTCCTCCTTATTTGATCCTGCCTCCAGCTCCACTTCTGTCTATTTCACCCGTCCCCCAAACCGAATCGCGCTTAAATACGCCGCCTCGAGAAAGCGCATTCGTATTTGCTGGTTTTCCGTGATATATTTCGAATTGGCCTCCTTTGCATGGGCTTTGATATGCAATCGGCTGTACCCGATTTTGCTCAGGAGCTCAGGGGCGATCGAAGTACCGGAGATAAGATGAGCACGAGCACGAGCAATGCTCCACGGTCCAGACTGGCCCAGGCTTCGGCCGATACAACACAAGTCCAGGGACGACCACAGAGGAGATGCCGTACCAGCAAGCCGAAAGTCAAAACAGGTTGCAACAATTGCAAGTACGTGTTTTCTTTCAAAACCAATAATGATCGGTTTTTATGTCATACTTCATACCTCATATGAATTTCATTTTATTTTGCATTACCTATATGTCAGGAAGTTATTAGCTTTGTCTTGTATACGATGCTAAGTAGGTACTTTGAAATTTTAGACAACGACGTATTAAATGCGACGAGCAACGGCCGGCATGTACTCAGTGCGTCCGGTCTAAGAGACAATGCACTGGCTATCCGCCTCCTCCGAGGAATCTAGTCTCAGCGGAGAGACGGATTGCGCCCAAAACCTATATTAGAGATGTTGCTCCTATCACGCCAGTGCACAATGATATCCGCCCAATCCGGTCCCAGCCACCACCGCGACCAACTGTAGCGGTAGCACTGGCACGACTAGAGCCTCAGAGGCAGCAACAGCAGCAGCTACATGTATCTCCGGGGGGCTTTACTCCCCCACAGACGCCAGTATCTGGCTCATTAACAGTCCATCGGCCATCTTTGCTTCTCTTCGACCCAACAGAAGGTTTGTACTTCCAACTCTTTAGAGAGCGTACGGCTAGCGAGCTATCGGGGTTCTTCGATTCGTCCTTCTGGACACGGAGTGTCCTACAAGAATGCCATTCAGAGAAAGCCATCCGGCACTCAGTCGTCGCTTTAGGAGCGCTTTATAAAACTTTGGAGAAAATGTCGGAGTCGCCACCAAATTCACCAGCTCCTGTAGTCGATCTGACAGACAATGCGGCCCGGCACTGCGAGGTCGCATTCAAACATTATTCATTGGCTTTGAATTCGATGTGGGTTTCGACTTCTCAGGACCAAGCCTCGCAGAGAATGAGTCTCATGGCAGCAGTGTTACTAGCTTGCTTTGACTCGTTCATCGGTGATCATAAACAAGCAATTGGCCAGATTCAAAGTGGCCTCCGGTTACTTGAAAACTTACGTGCTGAGCGTAGGAACTCTTTTCTCCCTAAACCCGAAGAGCCAGTTGAGCAAGACCTTGTTCAGATGTTTACTAGACTAGCCATTCAAGCGAAGTCTTACGATATGGCTTTTCACTTCCCTCAACCGTTCGTGATACGTCTTAGTCCACAAAACGCCCAGCACCCCATGTCCCCTTCCTCCGACGTGGGTTCACCATCATTGACAAGCCAGCCACAAACACCAGAAATATTTCAGTCGTTACTCGAAGCGAGACTAGCGTGGGATAATCTATGTGAACAGATGATGCGATTTACAGAAAATATGTTCACATTTACAACTGCAATGAGCCCCATGGGTGTACTCCCAAATTCTCTGAGACAATATGGTACGGGATTTGCCGATAGGCTAGCCGCTTGGTCCAGGGCCTTCGAACCCATACTGGCATCTCGTATAAGTCCAGCTAAGAGTAACCAAGAGAAAACGGCAATTGCTGTTCTGAAAATGAACCAAATTATGGGTGAGATTTTATTTTACATGACGTTCAGCGATACGGAGCTTCAATTCGATGCACACCTACCGCAGTTTAAGAATATCGTCAACCTAGCTGTGGAAGTCGTTGGAGACGAAGAGCGTAGGGCTGCTGCGAAGCGATGTCCGAACCCAGAATTTTGCCATCACCAGCCAACTCATCCAGACACCTTTGGCGGGCAGTACACCGCTCGACATATCAAACCAAGTTTCAGTGCGGATTTGGGTATCGTCCCCCCTCTTTTTGTCGTTGGTACGAAATGTCGAGATCCCGTAATCCGACGTCAAGCTATACAACTGCTACGAACTAGCTCGCGGAGAGAAGGCATGTGGGATAGCGAACTCGCAGCTCGTATAAGCATGTGGGTAATGGAAATTGAGGAGGCGGACGATGGCAGCGATGAATTCGGACGCCCCATGTCGAGCTCAACTGATATGAGCAGACTTTCTACGGGTAGCCCTGGTACACTAACTGCAGGATCTCCTAGCTTTGGGGAAGAGGTCCCTCTCGGTCCCGGAGGTAACGCTCGCTGGTCAGGGCGAAGGGAAAGTGTGCCGTTCTCGCCGTATGCGAGGAGGACTATACCAGAGGAAAGGCGAGTTATGGTGCGAGCTGTTGAGTTCGATCTTTGCGAACGTGTCGCAACTATTCAATGTGGTACACGGGGGCTGATCCCCGGTATGCGGGATCCGAGAACACAAGCCACAAGAATCCGGTGGTGAAAATGCACTTCGCCGCTTAAACATTACGATAACATGGCAGAATAATTAAGAGCTAGTCTTGTGCATACTACTTCGTTCGTCCGCCTCCTAGAGGGGTTTTACTTCGACTTGGATTTACTGGCTGGACCATTCTTTAAGCGCGACAAAAAGCTGGCTACAGAAGCAAAAAAAGGAAAGAGTGGAATAATTTTAAGATATCGGAATGCCGGGATTACAGGCGACAGGAAAATTATAGTTCCTCAAATATCCATCTGTATTGTTGTTAAATCTATGGCTCGGGCCTCAAAAAGGGGTTCCTTTTGATTTTCAACGTGCGTTGTATGATACCATAGAGAAGAATAATAGCGCCACCAACGTCAAGATGTACAAACTCTATGTTTCATCGGGCGGTGGGCAATAAATACGGTTGTATTCTTTGTTTATGCTACGTTTAAAATTAGAAGATAACAATAATGAGTTTACAAGAATAGTATAACTTTGAAGATTGAAGGTAACTATAGTAGTCGGTGGTATAGATATTGGCTTAAGGACCTTCTATATTCCAACCCCTGGTTGTTACTAGGCAGGTAGTGTGGCACTTAATAAGAGGGCGCCGCAGATTCAGATCCTACAGGAATCCTATACCTCTATTGGGCTTTGCCTACTTGGTAGGCAAATCAGCCCTACCTTTCATTCGTCACCGTTGGAATTTAAGGCGCTTACCTAACAACAAGCACCTACTTATTGTTAGGTATCTGTAATCATTCAGTTATGATATCTTTCATACCTAGGTGCCTTAGGTATCTTTTTACTCCTTTCGCATTTACTCCATGAGGAGAACGTTGAATAAACATTATAAATACACCACCTTAACAAGCTTACATTTCGACTTGATTGATCAGCCATTCTCACGTGCCCAAAATGCTGCGTACTACCACTGCGGCTTAGCAAAATACTAGAAACCAGAGGAACGCTATGATTCGTTTTATGCAACCAGGTTTCGGCGTAATCGTCAGGGGGGGGGGGGGGGGGGGGGGGGGGTTGAACAAAAACAAAAAAAACAAAAAAAAAAAACGGCGCACCGGAGACCACCAAAAAGTCAAAAATAACCACCAAAACCCCACCCAAACACAAC